ATCAGTTTGTTTATTTTGTTCGATAATGAGCCAATTCATTTGTCTTCTTTGCGTTTTTCGAGTTGAAAGAGTGAACAATTTCATATATATATTCCTCTGAGGAAGCTAGCCACTTACGCCAGCGAAACGTCAGAAAAAAATTCCAAAAATGCAAGGCCATCATACCCGAAAAATTGTGACACTGAATACTTGAAGTATATTTCCAACGATTTTCCCCTGCTCTCATCTTCAGCTCCACCGTGAGTGCGGCATGTGATGTTCATTTTCCTAATCATTGAATATTTAGTCAACTGTGAAGAATGAAATTCATGCGGTATGGAATTTCTACGAAAAATGCCGCGCTACTTTACGGATCACAACTGAAATTAGTCAACTTCAGTATAATGATTTATTATTTCCTGCAAGTGTTACAATTCAACATATTTTTACAGCTCTCCATTTCCAGAACGTCGGATTTGATATTGTAATCAAAAAGTAGTAGAATCCAGTTGTTAAAATGGTTGTGATTCAGCATTGAATTTTTTTCTAGAATGAAAAATTTTGAATCACTTTCAATGATGTACTGTTTGGAAAATTCACTCCAAGAAAATTTACTATCGTTATTTTTCATCTCACTGAAAAAAATATTCATTTCCAATTCAGTTCTCTTTCAGATGTATTTTAATCAACTTCAAGAGGGTACAACCAAACTACTTCAAAGATTCGGTCTGCCTTTCTTGGAGCAACGTAGAATTTCATCAAGTATTATTATGCAAAATTTTGCATTGTTTCTTTGATGGACCCTCGTTACTAGAACAAATTGACTTCAACGTACCTCAAGCTACTACACGTAGCGATATTGATTTTGACCCATCAAAGACCATATTATCAAAAATTGAACAAACCATAATCTAGCCTATTGTCTTCATTTCATGTTATTCACAAATAATAATTGATTATTATGTGATCGTTTTTCTTAATTCGATCATTTATGTGAATTTATTACTTAATTTGTCAAATCCTCAATATGTCAATCTTTTGTTATATATTTACCTTAAGTAGCATTGAGTTAATCTGCATTATTATATATATATTGTCCTGTAAATGGATTCATCTGTTGGGTAATACATTTTGTTTTCCTTCTCTTTTTCTTCTTCTCTTCAATGGTATTTTCAACACTATATTCATCTACTTTTTCCTTTTCATTTGACGTTTCTTATATCATTATTGAATGATCATTTCAAAGGAATAAAAACCTCATTACCATTATGATTATTATGTATAATGCACAGGTCGGACACTGAATTGAACAACTCACACATTACAAATATAGGCGATATTTTCAATAAATTTTTTCAAGAATTCCTATTGTAGAAAGCAACCATATGCACGGATTGTGATCTACGTTCAAGAAACTGAATTTGTCTTGATAAGTCACTACAATCATTATCGTAATTCAAATATGCAATTTCTTCTATCTGCTAGGGCTGAATGTGTTCAATACAATATTCTGGTCTGTACCCCTAGCTGGATAGAATCCACTGCACTTGAAAACAATACATTTTCACTCTGAATAAATTCTAATCGCTGAACGGAATTTTGAAATTTTGAAAATCATCTGAAAAACTATCTCGTGAACTATGCCACCATTGTCTCTTCAACTTCACCGTTACTGGAGCAGCTGACGTTAGGTGTTCTCAAGTATTGGGGCAAAACTCTTATTATTATGGAGTTGACTAGGTGTCGAATAATGACTCGTTCACTTTCAACTGTACTCCCGGTCTATAGAACAGTTACATAAAAGTAGACACTAAATTCTCAGAAATCTCATTGCATTAATACAAGAATATTGTTGTCAAGGTTGTGATTCTATATATTTTATCATCATGTTTCTCATCTATTTAGTATAATTTCCGTACGCCACTGCAAGAGACAGATCAAGGCAAAAAGTCAGTAATTTCTGATTAGAGCCTACTATTTTGGAATTATATTATAGTAGTGTTTTGTTGTTGATACAGCTGAAGTTATATAAGATACTACAATATATCGGCAAGAATCCAAAACGAATTCAGTTGAATGATGTTTTGATAGGGTTCCAAAAATTATTCAGATTTCGATATTTTTTCAATGAGCATTGGAAGTGATTGAAGATAGTTTAAATATATTGAGAGTTGTATATTAGTGGAAAAGTGGGATCTTATAAACGTTTATTACGGTCGGGCTTTAAATTGATATATTGATCCATTCAGGAATTGCACATCCTCAGATCATCTGGATATCATTTTCGACTTGAAATCTCCAAAGACATGCTCGAAGGGATACATAATATACAAATGAACACACTGAGACATTATCAAGAACATCCAAGGGAGAAAACACCTCGACACACCTGAGGAACACGATTCAGTCGCCAAGCATCTTCAAATTGCTGTTACAAAAGCATAATATGCAGCCAACTGCTTTCAAAAAATGTGGAACTGCTCGATAAGGTTGAAATTCGAGAACAAAAAAAGACTACAAAATAGGTCTGATTGAATACAACAACAAACTCTGGAGATCCCAAAAGAAATTTTGGATTCTATGTTGTGAAGGGATTTCTGAACTAGTTTCAGCAAAACGTATTGAAAATGTTCTTTCTGAAGAAAATTATGAAGTTTGCCGATTGATGAAAAAACTGATCCATGGTATGTTTTCCGTTTGACCACAAATGATCTCTTATGCGCTCCTCTAGATATATTTTCCGGAATTCGAGAAATTGCGAAAAGAAAATTGCGGAGTGCTCCACTCAAATAGCCATGAAATGTACTGAAAAATTTCGAAATGGCTAGCAAAAAAATTTTCACAGACGAATGATTGTGAGGTGAGGTTGTTTCAGATCTCATGTAAAAGACCTTGAACTGTAAATCTGATATCTTAACAGTTATATTACCATTCACCAAAATGGAACTTATATTTCCTAAGAATCTGAAATACTTTCTTGCGCGTGATCATCAACCAAGAACTGAGTTGAATCAGTAACATAAACGGAGTTGCAGCGACAACTTGCATAAGGCGTTGGAATTTAGTCATATCGAACAGTCATCACACTTATGATGACTCATCGATATGGTGACAAAAAATCGGTAAATCTACAGGAAATGCAACGATTCAGCTCTAAATGTACCCGTGTGATGAGAAAGGCATCAATAAACAATCCAGAATTCACCAGTCAGCTGATATAAAAACAGGAAATCCCATATTTCTCTCATTGAAATCCATGTTGGAACTCAGGAACTCACAAGCAGTTAGGAATGATCATAGGATGCAGTTAGAGACGATCATAAAGAGCAGCCGAATAGACGAATCAATCAGTCACAGCTAGATGGAAACTCATTGGTACGACATATGTGGATGAAAAACCCATGCAAACTTCAGATTTGCATGATAAACTGCATTCATACTACACAGAATAGCACTGACGTCTGACGTAGTCTTGTGATGGGTATATATGCTCCTGACGCAGGGTCTCCCGCGAGGCGCCTAAGACCTCAATGTACTTACTTGCTGTCAGCATGACCAGCAGTGCGTTCTCAGCTCATATTCATCGACCTGATGCAGCCCTAAGAGTGCTTTATTACCACTTGGGGTAATTTTAGGGTATTGTTTAGACACCTTATGCTCTGAGGACATTGAATCCGTTGTGGGAAATGTAGAATACCAGCTATTGATTCCTCAACCTCGGGCTCATATAAGCTGATGAACCTGACCATCAGAGCAAGACGATATTCAAAGTAAAGTTTCCAGCTCCGGTGAGATGAGTATCGCCGAGGAGTGAAGTATATTGAAATCTAAGGATGATTTTTTGATTATTGAAGTCCTTGGTAGAATGATGCCCTCTTTACTTTCGAAGTCATGCTGACTCGCCGTATTAAGGCATAAATCTTGGCTGGACAAATGCAAGAGGCTGTCATGGCTCATTGCATCTACTGGGGGCATATGATCCTCGGACCCAATGATCACTTATTCAATGGTGTGGAAATGATTTTCAACATATCTCTTGCACACCACGCTCAATCTATCAAAATGCGTGCCACTTTATGATTTGAAAGATATTCCTCTATAGCAAATGCTCTCGAGTATAATAATTCATGATTTATTGAAATCATTCTCACTGGGGTCATTTGTAGCATTATTTTGGAAATTATGGATTTGCAAACATTTTAATCGATTGAACTTGTGCACCCGGTATATAACTATAGTCGGGTTTCTGTATCTGTAGAGTAGGGAGGGTGAGCATAGAACCACAGTACTTAGCACACATGTGACCCATTGTACATCCTCCCGAGGAGTTGTCCTCCTAGGTCATCGTCCATTCTTTCCTTTCCAGGAAAGTGAACAGGTCACTAGGTCACTGTTCACACATTCTGCATAGAGGTGTGTCCCCTAACCCCATATTATGGAGGTGTTTTCCCAGTTGACATTGGCCAGTCAGTTATGCTACTGTTGAGCATAGGTTTTTCCTGGTCGTCGCCAGATATTTCTTATGCATCAGCTTCCCAGGGTCGCTCAGGGTAATCCTGACAGGGCTGCATCATTTGATTCCATCCTATCTCTTTAGGAATTGAGGACAGTGTGACGTTTGTCTAGTTCCGCAATTGTCGAAGTCATCAGGCTGTAGGTGCCACTGGGTCTTGAAATTCTTAGTCCAGCCACTTCCTTGGCTATAGAATCGGTAATGTGATTACCTTTACTCTCGTCGTTTCCTTCAACCCACTTTAGGATAATGTTATTATCTACCGAGGCTTTGGCTAAATTTTGGTGTCTAGTCGGGCTTTACTTGGTATTCATAAAACTCTGAGTTGAGCTTAATTCAAGGGCAAATCACCTCAAATCAAAAATCGAATCGAGTTCCAATTCTTCATCATTTGGAAGTTTTGGTGAGATGTTTCTCAACTGATACAGATTTATGGCGCTCATATCACTCATTTAACATAATTCAGAAACAAACGTTTGTCATTTCTGATTTTCAATGTACTAATCTACCCATTCGAACTGTCACCTCTGACAATTATGACTTTTGATATCATGCATTTCGGCTTATGAGTTCCTTCAACACTTTCCTAAATTCATGTGAACATGCCAGCATTAGAAGCAAAAAGAGGTAGTAAAGAAGACGAAGCTTGGGCTGACATGTTGGATAGTTTGGTAGATTTCATTTCAGCATCAAAAACAATGATAAAAATCATAAACAAGAAAATACAAGCTTCTAGAGATGAATCTGAAACTGTGGACAGTATTTCTCCCGAGACACCAAGATCCATTATTATATCAGGTATGAGTAGAAAGTTGATAGATTTTCCTCACATGCAAATGTTGAGATCAGGACATTATCTTGAAAAGAACAAATGGGGCATCATAGAGGTAGAACACTGATACAACTCAATCAAGATATCAAACTCCTGAGTAGAATCCAAATTATTTTACTTTTCCTCTTTATTTTGTTCAGCAAGCATAAACATTGAATTAGAATTAGAGGTTATATCATCTCCTAGAAATATGACCTATTCCACAGTTGATGAAGTGAAAAAATAATTTCAGGGGTATTCCAACTACAAATAAAAATGTATTTCCACCATACTCTGTTGACCTAACCTCTTCCATATCTTCCAGCAGAAACAACACTTTCACTTCACCAAAATATCTTTTGTTCAAAGCTACGTCCTCCGACATCGACTTTCTGTAATAATGACTCCTGGGTACTTGATATACTGAAAATAATAAAATGAAAAATATCAACAATTCTTGAAAAAATCTCAGTTCATGATAGTCAAACAGTGTGTTTCAGAATTGACGTTATGAAAGGACATTTTCAAACTAGTGCAATAAGTTTGTGAAAAAAGCGATGGGCGCTTGTTATACAAAAAATATGGCACAAAGCGCCCACGCTTTTTTCACAATAATACTGATTTTGAATTTCACTAGTTCGGACTTCCATTGTCTACTATATAAAATGATTTGAAATCCCTGAAACAAGTAAAAAAGAATAATTAAAAAAGAATAGTTGAAAATAACAATTATATTAGGCAAAATAAACCTGTAATGAAATAATAGTGAAATAAAATACAAGTAAAAATAAAACAATTGAACAAAAATAAATGAAAATGAATAAATAAAAAAAAAATAGAAATAAAAAGTTGAGAGATTCCAAGTCACGTTAGTTCACGACGTTTCGATTGTTAGTATCTACAATCGTCTTCGGGTGATGACTGGACTGATTCCTCCGAGAGATGACTATTTATAGATCGTTTGAGTACTTTCACTTTCCATTTTCCGCTTCACTGGTTCCGTAGGAGATAACCGTTTGGCGGGAGTTTGCCATTTTTCGCTTGATGATGGGTTTCCATATGTTGAGTATTTCTACGCTGGCTTGGACAACATGTATGCGGCTTCATTGAATTTCCTTCTAAACCAATGTTCCTCTCTGTGCAAGATCTCAGCTTGGGACCACTCGATGATGTGTTTATGTGTCCAAACATGGTCTGCTATTCCTGATTTGCTGGTTTTCCCTCGCTGTGTGTGTTTTTCTCCTCCAAACGGTCATCTCCCACAGAACCAGTGAAGCGGAAAATGGAAAGCGAATAAGTGAAACTACTCGAACGACCTATAAATAGTCATCTGTCGGAGGAATCAGTCCAGTCATCACCCGAAGACGATTGTAGATACTAACAATCGAAACGTCGTGAACTAACGTGACTTGGAATCTCTCAACTATTTATTTCTGGTTTCTTTTTTCATTTCTTCATTTTCATTCATTCTTGTTCAATTGTTCTATTTTTACTTGTATTTTATTTCACTATTATTTCATTCCAGGTTCATTTTGCTTAATATAATTGTTATTTTCATCTATTCATTTTTAATTCTTCTTTTTTAGTTGTTTCAGGGATTTCAAATCATTTCATATAGTAGACAATGGAAGTCCGAACTAGTGAAATTCATCATGAAACATTGTCAATCACCTTCAAAATACTAATATTCTTCGTTCGTCATAGTTTTAAGCTAATTTAACTTTTTAGTAGTTTGAAGTTCTTTAAAAGCGTGTTTTTTGTTATTTTCAAACTATATTTATTTTATCTCGACTTTGGGATCAATCAGCCGTATATTGTTTAGAAAAATGATCATTGATATATTCCGATTCCGGAGAGGGATCCTGAAAATCAGCTACCTCAAATGAAGAAATACATGTAAAGTGAGTTCTGATTATTTCAAGAAGGTTACTGTACATCGCCATCTGCCCACCAATATATCAAGCAATAAACTCGATATATCGAGGAGTTACGTACAGCGCCATCTGCCTGCCAATAGATCAAGCAATAATGTCGATATAGCAAGGAGGTTACGTACAGCGCCATCTGCACGCGAATAGATAAAGCAATAATGTTAATATATTAGAGTTACGTACAGCGCCATCTGCCTACGAATAGATCAAGCAACACTGTTGATATATCAAAGAGGTTACGTCTAGAGCCATGTGCCTGCAAATAGATCAAGCAATAATGTCGATAATTCTGTCAAATGCAGATCCCGAGTTTGAGATTTACAAGCAAACAAACAAACAAACATACATACACACATATAGGTGAAGCTAATAAAAGCGTGTTAATAAAAAACTGACATAATATGTTATTTTCCATTGTGACTTGTGACACACATAACCATCATATTATAGGTGTCATGAAAGACAAAAAATCAATTCCTCAGTGGAGAATATCTACTAGAAAAAAACATATCACAGAAAATAAATTTAATATAAACATCATGATATGATGTAATTGTTGCAACAAAATCTTTGCAAAATCAGGTTCCAAAACCATACTCAAGGGCATAAAAACATCACTCCGAAATGTTGACAAATTTTGATTTCGAACAACATTTTTATTTTTATCTCGATTATGATGATTTTAACAATAAATGGGAGTGATATTATACCAGAAAACTTCGTGATGAAAATATTTTGCAATAAAGCCCAATGTATTCCCATTATACTAGATGAAACAAATTCATTTCTTTATCATCTCGATTTAAGACAACCTGTAAGGAAATACAGCTTTTGGCTATTACTCAATACCATTTTGTTTGCCAAATTGATTCATTTCCTAAATACTTCTCCCTTTTTTATTTCGACATCACAATCTGTTTGAAATTATAGAATTATTGAATGAAGAATTGCTTTTTATTTTAAAACAACAATAAAACAATTGTTTAGTATCGGGTGTTGTTTGCTGTAGCTTCTTATTCAATTGCTCACATTCTTCTAGGCATTTCTCGAAACAGCATTAGGATGTGTGGCATTTTTGTAATATTTTTTACCTTTGAGAAAAATATATATCAAAATTTTACTTCCGATGAAGAATTGATTCACTCGAAGTATTCGCTTGGAATTATTGTTGTTTTCTAAAAAATGCTGTTTTAAATCTGATATCAAAATTTTTGAAGTAGTCTATAAAATGAATGAATTGATTTTTCTGAGGTTTCAATTATATATTTCAAAAATTGTGAATTCGTTTATAATTTTATGGATCTTCAAATTCTTCATTTCCAACATTATTTTTCGATGTGGAAAATGAAGAAGTTATATCAAAGTTATTTCACCTCGGGTCATAAACTTTTTGCATTATATTTTTTCCACGCTCTATTCTATTTTATATAATTTCAGAAGATTCTATTGAGGAGATACACAGAAATCCTTCTTTCAATGTATACATTCCACAATCTTCCATGATGGCTGAAGTTTTTCAAGAAGATCTCACTTCACAACCCAATAATGTATTTCCGAAATATCACTCATCCAGTCAGTTCCTCACAGAGCAGTACCATCTGACCAAGCAAGCAATTGCTAGAAAGTATCGGCCACAGAACCGATTAACTCCTAACACTTTGAAGAAAAGTCCCATTGAAGGTAAGAAAATTCTTGTCTTTCATCAGAAAACATCTTCACCAAATGTACAACATTTAATTTCAATTTGGGGAACGGCTAATTTATCAATAATAAATCCTCTAAAGAGACTGCAAAATAAAATAATTAAAAGTATATTCAAATTACCGTTTCTTGAACCTATGACAAATGAATATATTCCACGTAATCTTTCACATATTTAGTCCATTTTTCAATTGAAAATTCGTTGTTTCATTCATTCTGTTAGAAAAAAAAAACACAAATAATCGAATTTGGATTTCAATCAAATAAATTCCATCCGCATGCTTATAATACAAGCAAAAAACTACTAGTTGAATCATATCGCTCAAAATTTGGGGAGACATCAATGTTTCATTTAGGAGTTGAAATATATAATGATCTTCCAGAGAAACTAAAAATAAATCAAAAAACAAAATTCAAATCGGAATTGAAAAAATTTCTGTTTTCTTTCTCTAATTGAAATTCTGATCTACATATTACATTTTTAGTTTTTAATTACCATTATTATTTAATTATGCATATATGTATATGTGTGTGTATGTATAAATGTATGTTCATGTGTATACATGTGTTTGTATTCATGTATATATGTGCTGTACATTTAATTGATATGTTAATATTTAAATAATTCATTTAAACATGATTTTAAATTTTATCCCTGTTATAAACATTCTTATTTCTTGGGATTAATAAAGATTATTGTTATTATATTGTTACTAGTATTTCGTGAAGTCAATATAAAGATACGCTGCCTGTTAAAAAAGCTGAATTTATTTTTTTTAAAACATATTTATGTATCCATTAATTTTTATTCTGTATCCTCCAAAGTAGTTCACCTCAAATATGATACACTTGTGTCAACGTATTTTCCAATCCTCGACGCAGTTGTGATATACACTTTTTGGTATGTCTTCGAACCCTCTCAGCGATTTGAATTTTATCCCCACAATCGTCACAAAACGCCTTCCTTCCATAGGTCTCTCCAATCTTGAAAACAAAAAATGTAACAGGGGGCCAAATCTGGTGAATACGGTGACTGAGACAAGATTACGAAGTTGTTATTAGTCAAAAAATCACGAATCGCGGTTTCATTTGTTTCCATCATCACATCATTAAACTCCTGGGGGTCCATCTGCTCCACTTTGGAAATCGCTGTTTCAAATCAACGTAATATACCATCAGCTTATTCCGTTAGATTAGTTCAATAAAGTCCTTCAGTACAGGTGAATAATACAAGCTAATAAGCCTGATATAGTTCTTCTCGAGCATCAGAGCAAGACGATATTCGTAGTGGAGTTTTCGGCTTTCGGACGAATATCATCCAAAAAAAGAGAAAAACGAATGAGGTAACAAGATTTCATATTCGAACTCCACATACTCTATCTAGACAACTCTGTCAAGATGATTGTTTGGATCATTGGAGTCCCTGATGGAATAATACCTAATCTACTCTCGACAAATGCAGAAGGCTGTTACTCTTGGCTCACTACGCTAACTCAGGGTACATGATACTCGCACCCAATGATCACTTACCACTAGGTGTGGGGAGTGGTCGTTGGTTGATAATGCTGGCGCGCCCTTTCGAATGTATCGAGGCTTCGGGGGATAGGGCTCGACCAACGCATTTTTACTCCCGATTTCAATTTCTCTCATTCAAAATAAGAAGGATTTTTGAAAGAATTTACTTCTATAACTTTGTGATTAACATCTTTCAGAATTAAGATATCAAAACCATGTCCATTTCGATATCTAGGATATGTGAATCATTTGATACTGAATTACTATATCAGATATTATTGTTTTCATCAATATCAATTTCAGGTCAAGTGAAAATCATTTTATCCATTTCAGATTATTTCATGAATGAAATGTTCACAGAAGGTTTGTACAGAATTTCGAATAATACATCAGAAAGCATCAAACCACCCTCCTGCCAAGAAAAGTATAAAGAAGTTCCGAGAATATATAGAAAAGCATCATATGATTCCTGAAGAACCAGAAGAACCAGAAATGGAATATTATTAAATAATTTATAAATAAACTCTTGACTCGAAATTGTACATAATTTTTGTTAGATGAATGTTCAAGACGAAATGTGTATTGTAAGTTCCTCTTCTCTCTAAAATTCCTGCTCATCAAACTACTTGATGGTATTAATATTGACTATCTCAAATGGAGTATAAATTTATCATTATTTGACTTAAATGGAGAATTTTTAGGTGAAGCTATTATGCATTGATGTTGTTCACCATTCGGATATCCTCTCATTATTGTCAGTAAGTCTCTACCAAAATTATTTTGAATTCAATGATACCACATATAACAAAGAAGGCATCATAATAGGTAATCCTTCCTAGCTGAAATTTTCATTGACAATTTCGAGAAAAACTTCAGATTAGCATGCATTTTTCCAAAAATGTATTTACTGGCTAGTATGTTGACGATAGCTTGTTTCATAGGGACACATATACAATTATAACCACTTTTCCCATACATTATTCATAGGAACATTAAATTCACAAGAGAACTCGAGAGCAATAATTGGATAAACTGTTTAGACCTCATAATTACGATAATTAATAACAAACACGACTCCACAATTCACCATGAACCAACCCATACAGACATAACTATAAACAACTAATTTAATCACCCAGCCTACCACAGTATGATGCATAGACTCATCAACATATCAATATCCACAGAGAATTTTAATAAAGAATTGAATCTTCAACCCGAATGTAATTTATCACATCATTGATAAAAAACGTTTTAAAGAAGCTATTAAGTAAGTTTACTCTCACATAAAATATATTACTGGACCTTCAAGAAACCCACATATACCGGAAAACATCAGATAAAAAGATAGTACTACTGAATGAACACAGTATACATGAACCATATAAGACTGGTAACTTCTTGGATAGACATAAAAAACAACAAGACACAGATAGACAAGGATAACAGATCAGGTGTCTATGAAGTAACATACAGATTATGACAAAAAGTGTGAGTAGGAAGGACTTCAAGAAATTATGAAACAAAAATCTCCGAAAATAAAAGAAGTTTTGCACTTGACAGGGCATCATGAAGGCGAAATTCCAAATCGTAACTCTTTCATGTACTATATTCTGTAGCTTTCGATGTTTATATTGAAGTAATTGTTTCGAACAGATTTTCTTTTCAGTTTGCATCTGAAAGTAACTTCTAACCTCTTCGTGAAGAGTTTATTTTAAAAACAATTGCTTCTTTACTTTCTTTCAAAGTTTACTACAATTTTTCACATAAAGTTCTGTTCTGTTCTGTTTTTCCGTTAACCAGCTGTCGCACCCCTACGAACGACAACCCTCAGAAGTCGAAACTTGTGCGAGATAAGGATTAATGAGGTCTTACCTTTTAACGTGTGATTCCTAACACGGGTTGGACGATAGCAAGTGAAGATCGATCGTTCAGACTAGGGCTTGAACCACCGACCAACACGGCAGTCAATTCGAGTGAGTGAACAAAGCACCCACGCCGAACCGCTTGGCTACCAAGTTGGAGTAGTGAACCTTCTTTCCCAAAAGGAGATCATGAATTTCTACCACTCGAGTACTGTGTGGCGACTAAACATTATTTTTGTTTATTTCTATAATTTCAAAAACATCGTTAGAAACGTTTATGTTCATGTATTGAGTTCGAATCATTCACCATCTTCAATTTCAACTTTTTGGATGGATTCCAGAAATGATCCGTATTATGTTTTAAAAAATTCTAGTTTCTGTTTTGTGAAGGAAACATTCAGAGACAACTACTAATGAGTGAATCCCAAACAAAACGTTATAACTGAATTTGTTGTCACAGAGACGATATTTGAAGAACAATTTCAAGAAGTAGGACGTTGGCCGTCTAAGTAGGAAGTAAGTTTACTGATCAGGACTCAAGATTGAACTAGATGAAATAGCAAATGGAGAAAATATTCTATAGGGCTATTCTAAACTTGTTGATTAATTAATCTACCTCTATCGCCAGGGATGTGAATCTCGATGTGCCACAAGGCTCAGTTCTTGGACCATTACTCTTCCCGATATATGTTAATGAACTTCATCTTCATATGGAAGAGGGGTATGTAACAGTAATTGCAGATGAAACCATGCAGAGCAACTTACAATCAAACTTGATAGTATTTTTGAATGAATTTAGTGTCAGAGAAACAAGCTAGTATTAAATATATCTAAATCAGTATTTGTGAATTTAATCTTTCGAAAAAACAAACCAGATGAATCATGCTTAAATGATGGAATTGTGGAATTGTGTGGAATTGGCCGCGGTGGTAGTGTGTCCGACTCACGATCGGAAGGCCATGTGTTCGATTCCCGCCTCGACCAGATATTTTTCTCTAGAGAATTTATCTGGTTGAAGCTGGAATGATTCTGCAACCGTGTTAGGAATCACACGTTAAAAGGTAAGACCTCGTTAGTCCTTAGCTCACACGAGTTTCTCAACTTCTGAGAGTTGTCGTTCGTATGGGGGCGGCAGCTGATTAACGGAAAAACAGATTTTTTTTTTAAAGATGATATACAAACCTTAAATATTGTTGAATTCCTATACTAGAATTCTGAAAGAGTAAGCACTAAATTCTCAGAAATGACTTATGTTTTTGTGTCTCTTGCAGTGGCGTAAGGAAATTATACGATCTGAATAAGGCATTTTACGCCATAAAACAATTGAAGTGGAGTTTGGTTGAGGCGGCGCTGTTGTACTTATATTATGCGATGGCCTACTCCCACCTCAGTCTCAATATTATGGTTTGAATCATAAAATCCATTTTGTTTGCTAGACGTAGCTTGTGTTCGTTCTGGTCAAATGCTCCAAACTATAACTACAACACACAAAGTGGTAATTTCTTGCAAGATTATCAATTATTTCAACATACCTTGATATGTCTATACAGGGAGTTCCAACGAAAACTTGACCCCCCCCGGAAGTCAGAAACGCACGTGTAATCGAAAATTTCAAACGACACGTCAATTTTTATTTTCAGGGGGACTCATTCTGATATGGAAATCATACCCAAAACTTAACTCCCCTGCGGTCAGCAACTACCCCTCTATTTTTTCAATGGCATAGGGGGTCGAGTGATACATCATTTGAAGGGTATTTTGTTCCTCTAATACTTTTGTATTGTTTCGAAATTGGTTTATTCGTTATTGAGAAATTAAATGTTGAACGTTTCCTTTAAGAAAAACCAAAAAATTCGCTGTTGCTCATTTTATTGAGGAAATCAATGAAACTAATATCAATGGCAACATAATCAACGGATAAAGTATTCAAAATGACCTTCATCTAGTACCATACAAAAATACAGTCCACTTTTGAAGGGGTTGCGTACATTATTCAAGACGTCTGGAGTCACCAATCAGTATTCCCGAACAATTCTCTGTCGCAGCTCTTCTAGATTTTTAGGCCTAGTAGAGTACATTTTCGACTTCAGGTGTCCCTATTAAAAATCAGGTGATTTAGCTGTCTACTCCACTAGATCCCTTCTGCAGGTCCAACGCATATCTCAATACTTTTGTTGAATGTATCTACCCTCAGTCAAACTCAAACATTCATCTGGGACATTTGAACGTGAGGTCTTTAATGGTACACTTTAATATAATAAAAGATTTCATATTGCAACAACAGTTCGAAATTTTTGTTGTTACCGAAACATGGCTCAATGACAACATATCTTCTGATGTTCTCACCAGATAAGTTTATTAGATTTGACAGAACTGATGTTGGAAAAAATCAATTCTAATATTGAACAATGTTGGATTTCAGTCACGTTATCAGGAAATAAATTCATTATAGGCGGTGTCTACAGGCCTCACACCTCCAATGTACTTGATTTTTTTCAATGAACTGGAAGATGCGTTAGCAACAACCCTAGCCTATAGTGACAAAACTGTGATTTCTACAAATCTAGAAGATCTGCGACAGAGAATTGTTCGGGAATGCCGATTTCTGACTCCAGACATCTTCAATAATGGATCGCTTCCATAAGTGAACTGTATTATTGTATGTCACTGGATACAGGTTATTTCAAACACTCTATCCGTTGATTGTGTTGCCATCGATATTACTTTTGTTGATTTCCTTAATAAAATGAGCAACAGCAAATTTTCTGTTTCTCCTTAAATACAACGTTCAACATTCAATTTCTCAATAACAAATTATCCAATTCCGAAAAAAATCACACAAGAAATAGAGGGACAAAAGATCTTTGAAATGATGTCTCACTCGACCCCCCCATGCCATTGAAAAAAATAAGGGGATAGTTGCTGATCGCAGAGGGGTGAAGTTTCAGATATAATTTCCATATCAGAATTAGTCTCCTTAGGAAAAAAAAATGATGTTTTTTTTAATTTTTGATTACACGTCCGTTTCTGACTTACAGGAGGGGCAAGTTTTCGTTGGAACTCCCTGTATATTGCCTGAGTGACATGTTTCCTTAATACGTGACTGATTTCACCATAGTTCAGAATATTTCAAGTATAGTTTCATGAATTGTCAATGAACTTTATGTTCCAGAAGACTTATAAATAAATTGAATAATGAGTGTCCAATTCATTTAAAGAAACTATAGGCGTAATAGTACTGATAAATTAATTATTGGCGTTCACTATCAAACCCTCATTATATGATATCATTGTTAAAATATGCATGAAGGTTTTTTCCCTCCCAAAATTAACAAGTTTTCTCAGACATATTCCAGGAGTGGCGTTATTTGGAAAATCGGTATTACATTTTTGTTTCTGTGAGAGATCAGTTTCTTCAAAATCATCAGCAAAATGTAATTTAAGTCATATTCGTTATGTCATTACGACAAGTAACTTTTCATATTCAACATGTCAACAAATCAATTTTGACATGTTATAGTAAAATTTCAAGTGAGACCAAACTCCATGCCTATCCTAACCCAAATGGAGCAGTCACAACAAATCCAAGAACCCAACGAGTTGGAAGCATGGAAACTCATGATGGACAGTATGATAAAGTTTATACATGCCTCGACGAAGCTGATGAACACTTTCAACATCAAAGCCAGCAATTCAGTCCTTCCGAATGATTGCGAAGTAGAATGCATTCCGTGTGCGTCGAAAACTGTCCAGAAACAGAAAAAGAAAGTTTGTGCAGCTGCTGCTTCTCAACCACAAGCTAACGAGACACAAAAAGGAGATGCTACTCTGGCCAACGCTACGAATCCAGAAGAGGATAACCAGCATGACGCAACACCGGGCGCAGATGAAACTCTCAACCAAACTGGAAATGATTTGGAAGAAACTCAACCAGGAGAGGTAGCAGCGGATGACACCCAAAATGAGGTTACGATGAATGAGACAAATAATCTCCAGAATAATACAGAAGCTCATCCAAACGAGGATGTCGAAATAGTGGTTGAAAAAAAGGATGTATGTGTCTGTAAAGAAATCAGGGAAATCAAAGAAACAGCCAAGAAAGCTGGAATAGTTACTGAATGCAAAGGTGAGCAGAATGTGGAAAAAGTGATTGACAAATGGTCACCACTATTGATTCTTTGGAATTTACAGTTCTAGATCAACCTAGATTATATCCAAGTGATTTCAAATACCAATTAACGCCACTAAAAAGTATTTCATGTACTGGAAAATTTCAAAGAATCTAATTCAATATTTTCGGTGAACAATTTTATTATTCACAGAAACGATATAATAGTTTCTGCGCAATTTTTTTCAATCAGCTTGGGCCCTATACAGCTACTATTCCATAACTTTTCAGCATACGCATTTTTCGTCTCCATTTCATGGAACTGCATTTTTGATCACATAGAATATAATGAAAAATCAATAGAAATTTTCCATTTTTTTTCAGTTCAAAAATTCTTCAGGAACAGATCAAATATGAAAGCGAATTCAGTAATTTGCCCAGAAATGTCACCGTGTTTAAATAAAATTTGGATAGAGTCGTTATACCTCTCTGAAGGGGATGCTATATTTCCAGCTCTTTATCAAAACGGACTGGAAATAATTTTATTTATTCTCATAAAATTGTATAGAGCTAGTCTGGCGTGGAACTATATACCACTCAGTTGGTTGGCAGCGAAAGTGGTATATAAAGTGGGTCGGAAAGACTCACACCCTAAATCGGTACGACCAATCAGCCTTACATCCTTCCTGTTGAAAGGACTTGAGAGGTTACTGGACAGACACATCAGAGGGGTGGAATTTTATGGTTTCCCCTGAATAACCACCAGTATGCTTATCAAACCGGCAAATCGACAGATTTAGCATCAAACAACCTTGTAGAGATAATCCTACTTGAGAACAAGGAGCATAACTAGCTGAATCTATGCCATGCTGGTAAACAGAACTGCTACTACGACTCTTTAAGGCGTAGCTATTAGGTTCAGGGTCACCAGAGGTTGCCCTCAAGGTGGGATACTATCTCCCCTTCTGTGGTCGCTCCTGATGGATAGTCTGTTTGATGCTCTCGACAGAAGGAAAGTAGATCTACAAACTTATGCAGATGACCTTTTCATTTTGGCAAGGTCCACATCGAGAAGGGTAGCTTGTAATATCCTTCAAAGCAAGACGACGTTGTTCGCAGTTGGTGCCTGAGGGAGCAGATGTTTGTTAACCCCAGCAAAACTGTGATAATCCCCTTCATCAGGAGAATAAAATTAGATAATCTAACGCCACTTTCTCTCAACGGTGGGGTCGTTTCATTTGGAATGGAATTAAAGTATCTTGGCATTGTCCTTGATAAAAAACTCACCTGGAACGGTCATTTGGAAAGAGTTTCACACAAATCCCAAGTTTCACCTGTTTGTGGTGAAACTTGGGATTTATGTCCCAAGCAAATCCATTGTATTCATGTGATGATCGTCAGACCAATTGTGCAATTGCCTGGTGGCCGAAGAGTTTACAAAAAACGGCTCAGAGGAATCTCTCTCGCTCACAATGAAGTGCTTGTCTGAATATCAGTGTTACCATCAGTACCACACCATCAGCGGCCATGGAGATCCTTTTCGACCTACCTCCTCTCCACATTTTTCTAGAGAGAGAGGCTAGATGTAATGCATATAGACTTGTGTACTTTGCCAATTTCACAAATCAATTTATTGCGTAGTGCAATAGACTGTTGGTTGACATTGGAAGTCACAGCATTCTGGAAATGACCTCTGACTTCATATCTCCAACTGTCAACTACGAACTGCCTTATAAAGTACTGTTCCCGAGTATAGAGGACTGGATCCTCCATGAGAAATAAATATTAAGAGCAGATAATTGTTTATTTGGACTACAGTAGGAATGAACTACGATGTCTAACAGGCCTTCTTACAGGTCACTGTCATTTGAATCATCATATGCAGTGACTAGGACTGTCGAAATACAGTATATGTCGCCTCTGTCTGGAAAGCGATGGAATGGCAGAGCACATACTTTGTGCCTGGTCTGCTGGAGACCGAATCAGGCTTTTAGAGTTCGGCATAGCCGTACTCTTACTATCTGACCTGAAAGACCACTCACTATACAAACTAATCGGCTTCGTTAAGGAGCTGGATTTATTTGGTCGAGTGTGAATAGGTGTAAGCCACAATGAATTCTCAAGGGTCGCGGTGGAAGGTCGAATAGACTCACTTTGGATCTAACTTAACCCAACCTATACTTCTCAAAACAATTTGATATTTCTTGATATCGACAATGAACTGAGATAGTTCTATGTGTTTGTTTTCAACGTTCCGGGGTAAATTTTGTAAACATTTTTTTGCATTCCAAAGAAGTATCAAAAATAACGTTTGTTTGTACCTCCATCAATAAGTACCATTGAAACAATGTTTTTTATCATTATTTGTCATCAGATACATAGTACATATAACGAATAGTTCAAAAATAATCCATTAAAATTCAAGTTAGTATCATGTGAATATTTTTGGGGTATATAAACTCGCAACTCATTCTGATTGCAGATCATTTTTTGAAACTCCTATAAGAAATCTTCAATCTGTATCTGATAACCATTTCTGAATTCAGGATAAATCGTTTCAGAGTTGATGACAAACGTTTACAAATCATCACTCCTCATATTGAAACTGCAGTGATGTGATGTGAGATCATTTACAATTCTTCTGAATCCTATCTGGTGAAACTCACTCAGAATTTCAAGGTCAATAAAAACATATGTTTCAGATTGCTCAAGACCTGCTTATTGGTAAAAAACGGTCTTGGAGGTGGCTATAGTAACTGTTTTGGAATTTTTGTAGGCATCCATATCGATTGTTCGTTATCAGATTGTTTTTTTTTTCAATGAGAGAATTTGTTCTTGTTTTGAAAGCTATGCCCAAACAATTGTGTCAAAACAGGTATTAGGGAAGTGAGCATATAGTTTTCCATATTTTACGGTTTTTTTTTTGTATCCATCGGAATATTCTGATCATATCACGATGGAAAATATCTAATTCATTAGGAGAGTGAGAGACATACTCTTTAAAATCCTGAAAGCTCTACTCCAGCTTTTATAAATTCGATTAAAATTTTAAAAATTTTATAAAATAAATTTTATAAAATGATTGTGTATTGGAAAATGGGTGAATAGGACCCGGGTAAGATTTTTCATGGAATTTGCTAAGTTATTTAGTATAGAACTCATTGAAACAGACATTGAAATTTTGAGCAATATTGAGCTGTTTCACATTTTCATTCACCTGTTTTCATTTCCTTTCTTGAAATATTTTGTTCCGTCTATGATTCATAATATCAAATCGAAATCAAATTCCTGAATCTCAACCTATATGCTATTTTCCAAATGAATTTCAAATGTATCCTTCCCGTGTTAGGAATCACACGTTATAAGGTGAGACCTCGTTAGTCCTTAGCTCGCACAAGTTTCTCAACTTCTGAGAGTTGTCGCTCATATGGGGGCGACAGCTGATTAACGGAATGCTCACATTGCTCACTTACTCATATTCATATTCCACATAAAACCCATAGAGAATTGATCAAATCAAATTCATCAGCATTTTTTTAAAAGACTCAACTTTCTATTGCAGCAAAATGCAGTTGCAGTGGAAAGAAAACTGAGGTTCCTAATCCAGGTGAGTTTCGATCATACTTCTTGTCCATGAAGTATTTTCTCTCTAACTGACTATATTTTGTAATCTATCATCGACAGAATTATGTGCATGTCCGGTCACTTCAAAGGAAGCTGCAGATCTAGCAGAATCAATGGCTCAGAAACTAGCGATAGCGCAAAATGAAATAGACGGCTTGAAGGGAGAATTGGAGAAGCTGCAGTTTATGGAATCCACCAGAAAATCTAACACAGCAGCCCTATACAAACAAATCATGAAGGATACCTTGATTTCCATGGTAAACGGTATATTTTGAATATAATACCTATAGGTTTCTTGTAATCAAAAATTCTTCATCTCATCCACTGATACTTTGACTGAATATTCCAAAAAGAACTCCTACGTATCTTTTGGGAGCTCTTTTGGAGTCATTTGACTCCATCATTGTTTCGAAGTAAGCACCCTGGGTTTTTCTCCCCATTTTTCCAATACAACCATTACCACAATATTTTCCAATATACTAGTTTATATAGGTCTCTATATCAACGTTAATTGATACCAAGGAACAACAACATGAAGGAACAACAAAAATCAACAAATAAACAAAGATGAACACTATCAACATTGATAAAAAACAAATAGTTGAATATTTTTCATAATCTAGAACCGATTTTGATTGCCTATGAATTGATTATCTATACAGGCTGATTCACGGTGGATGGCACATCTGAATTCTGAATTCTGAATTCGTATAAATTTCTTGAGGTTCATTGGCGGTAGATTCGGATACATTTCATTGAACTTTCTACATGTTCTGTCCTGTTTGTGGTGAAACTTGGGATTTATGTCCCAAGCAAATCCATTGTATTCATGTGATGATCGTCAGACCAATTGTGCAATTGCCTGGTGGCCGAAGAGTTTACAAAAAACGGCTCAGAGGAATCTCTCTCGCTCACAATGAAGTGCTTGTCTGAATATCAGTGTTACCATCAGTACCACACCATCAGCGGCCATGGAGATCCTTTTCGACCTACCTCCTCTCCACATTTTTCTAGAGAGAGAGGCTAGATGTAATGCATATAGACTTGTGTACTTTGCCAATTTCACAAATCAATTTATTGCGTAGTGCAATAGACTGTTGGTTGACATTGGAAGTCACAGCATTCTGGAAATGACCTCTGACTTCATATCTCCAACTGTCAACTACGAACTGCCTTATAAAGTACTGTTCCCGAGTATAGAGGACTGGATCCTCCATGAGAAATGCATATTAAGAGCAGATAATTGTTTGTTTGGACTACAGTAGGAATGAACTACGATGTCTAACAGGCCTTCTTACAGGTCACTGTCATTTGAATCATCATATGCAGTGACTAGGACTGTCGAAATACAGATAGGTATAGGGATATATCAAGAAAAGTTGTCGGGCAATTGTTGGAGATTCCAAAAATAATATTATATACAGAGTGTTCCATTTGAAAAATCAAAGTTGCTACTGCTTTTAATAGAAGCGGCAACACCGCATTGTCAAAAATATTTTAGTTGGCTAGAGAATGTCCGAATATGCCCTCCATTAAATTTTCAAAGTGATCCGTTGTCTGGTTCACCAGAAACGTCTAATGTGCCATCCACCGTGAATCAGCCTGTATATTATTACCTATCGATTATTATCGCATTCGCATGGAACATGAAGGGCTAACTATATTAATTTCTTTGTCAGATTGCTTTCAGCTGAGGTCTCTGTTATAGAGCTCCATTTCGTTCTTCAGTTCCTATCTTATAATTTTACTTTTCTAAAGGTTTTTTGATGTGACTTTTCCAAATAATATCACAGCAGTTAGAAGAATGGGAAGAGGCAGGGGTCTCAATCAGGATGATTAGATGAATTTTTGCAAGAAAACTTCATTAGTATCTCACACCTGTCTCTAACAAATTGCTATAAATAATGAAGAAACTGAACTGCGGCACAATAACAGAAAAGGACAGAAGATACTGCTACAATTCAGTTGAATTTATATGAATATCAGACAATAAGTTGAAGGTTTACCCACCATTGTGTCAGTACTCATTTCTACTCACACACATAACTCCGACCCCACTTAGTTAACGTTTTTTCTTCCTTTGTTGTTATCCACAAAACCAACTCTATCATACTCGCGGAAACATGGCTTCATTCTTCTCTATCTGACTATGCTATTTCAATAAATGGATTTTCCCTCTTCAAAGCAAACAGAATAGATAGACGTGGTGGTCAGACTGCACCCATTAGCGTAAGTGATTCATTTACTCATTCGATCAATCGTTATTAGAACGCCGGTTTGATTTGAACTATGGTATTTTGATTTTCACAAGATTTCGTCTGATCCGTGCTACCACCAGTTGAGACCTCATCAATCCTCAACTAGGATAATTTCGTCTCAGTTAGACCCGGAACAGTCTTCTCCTTTTCAGTTTCATTGAATTTTCCATAATTTCTTTTACACACTTCTATTTGTTATGTCTCATCTGTTTTATTGGATACACCTTTCCTATGTCATCATCATTTGCATCCTGCAATTCATCTCTCAAAAAGAAACCTTTGCGATGACTGAATTCACAGAAGTTCACGATCTGTTTGCAAATTATAACTGGATCGTTATCCAACAGTTATCGAACAGTCATGAAGACGTCCGCGATGAAAACTGGCTTCATGATCGTATTTATCTCTTCATTCAAACATGTGGCAACGAACATAGCTAACAACCAAAAGCTATGAATAACTAGCGACATAATCGCCAGATCTCGTATCTAACCGCGATTGTGAAGGAAAGTGAAGTTTTCGCATAATCTCATTGATCCTCTCCTTCATACAATTTCCAAATGAGCTAACAGCACATATTAGACTTGCCACTTTTCACTCTACTCTTTAACTACCAGCATTCCACATTTCACTTCTCCTCTCCACTTTCCACTCTTCACTATCGACCCTCCAGTGTTCAAATTACACCCATCACTCTTCATTTTTCACTCTTCAATTTTCACATCACTGTCCACTCTTTCTACATTATTCACTATTGTTTCTTCACTTTTCACTTTTGACTCTCCACACTACACTCTCCACTTTTGAGTATCCACTCTCAACACTCTCACCCACCACTCTTTTTTTCTAATTCCACACTCTTCACCGTACACTCCTCAGAGCCCCCACTCATCAATTCTCACTCTCGACTTTCCACGCTCAACTCTTCCCTCACGACTCTTTCCTCTCCACCCTTCACACTCCACTCTTCACAATTCACAACCCATTCTTCACTCTTCTCTTTTTCATCTACACTTTTCACTTTCGACTTTCCACTCTCCAATCTTCACTTTCCCCGCCTCACTTTCCACTCTCCACTCCACACTTGACTCTTCACTCTCTCATGTCCACTTTTCATTCTCCACTTTTTAATTTCAACTCTCCACTAGTGACATTTCACTCTCCACTGTTGACTCTCGCCATTCTCACTCTAACTCCCCACTTCCTACTCTTCACACTTCCAGTGTCAAAACAATCTCGCCAGGTGTGGAGTTGAAGCACTCCTCGAACAAATCAGAAATCTGCCGAGTTGGAAAGTTTCCACACAACCAATTCGCAACTTCGCAAATGATATTTGCAGAACTAAATTGAAATCTCAGAGACATTCTTTCCTCATTTTGAATCGGTATAATCCGCTGATCCTAGTAGTCCCATTCCAATTATTCTCTGTATCAGAAATAATAGCTCCCTTGACAAGGTTCTATTCACTGAGAAAGGAGTATTATTCCAGTTTAATTCCAGTTTCAAGAAAAATTACATCTCAGCATCTGTGCTGTGTTTGCCGCTTGCAAAACTTCTCACCTGCATCATGGAAGCAACCGCTGTGGTAATGTTGAAAACATCTGGTTTATGTCCATAACTAACATGAAATATAATTCATTATAACATCAAAATTAACAGTTCAAAAATAACTTTTCAAAACGCTCAAAGGTACGAACTTGTTTCCTCCTCTCCATAAAAGAGAATGTAGGCTTCTCCACTCACAAGCGATTTTGGTGAAATTGGTGACACGTGTGAATCATTGTATTCGTGCCACATGCCAGTATAGAGGTGTCTGAAAAATGCTGTATAATGTCCGCTGTAAGACGTACCCACTGTGATTCGAAAGTGCATAAAGATTATAACGACATGGAGTCGCATTGTCTGGTGCATAATTATTCATATCCAATCCATCTAGAGGAAATTCGATTGCAACATTCAACTTGCCTCTGAATATTTCTGTTAGAGATAATATGAAATCGTAGACTTCATAATCTTGTTCTTAGACCCCAACACGACTTTATTCAGTGAGAAACTAAGAAACTGCGTTCCTGATTTTTTATTGAAACATTTTTAATCGAATTCAACTGCAATACTGAATATTGTGTTACTGTACTTATCTTGGTCTGATGTAGCACTTGATATGATGTACCTCCATTAATTTTTTTGACTGATTCATGTTTCGTTTTAAATTAATAAGGTTTATCTTCTGACTGATATGTGTTTTAAAATGTGTATTTTTTACGAACTGACCACATAAGATACGCGTTTTCAATAAAAATTTTTGTTCTTCAGGTAATGAAAAATATTTCTCTCCCTCTCTCTAATCAAATAATTTCAGTCAAACTGATCATCTTTTGGTTTTTCAACAGCCGAACTCCAGCAAAATGTACTCCTCTGGTATGTCATCCCAACCAAGATTTTACTCTGACCGTACAAGTCCAAATACAACAAATAGGACAATACCGTCAGGATCACCACCACCCCCCTCGATTCGTTCAACATTTCTGGGGGGCACTGGTATAGCAGGTGAGAAAGTTTGTTTTTATTAGGAGTATTACCTGACCCTCGCTTACTTGCCAAGTAAGAATTACTTTGTAAGATTTTTATTGCATTTCAAATCTGAATCATTGTAAATTGAATGAAATTTTAACTGTATATTTTATGTTTCTGTGAAAAAATACATTAAATAAATTGTTTTACGAATATTGTATAGCGCCGAAATGTGAAAGTACAATAAAATCAGCGACAGATATTTTTGTAAAAGGGCAAAAATGAAAATGACAGGCCGTTTCCTCATCCGGTCCACTGCTGCTAGTTGGATGAATATATTGTTGTGAAATTTCCCTTGGAACAAAAATAACACCGGCTGCCGCTGGTTGTCGTGAATCGATTGTGACTTGGCCAAGATCTCGCACAACTCGACTTGCGCTTCGCGATTGTTCTAGATTTCGCGTCGCTTCCATAGACTCCTAGCAACTTCCCTATCGGCTTCGAGAGACTTCGATTACCATATTATACAGTACATTTTTTAATGTCCCTCCTTTAATTTTTTGAACGGGTCAACTCAAAAAATTTAAATTTGGGATAATGAAATAAATGCACGAATACTTTATTTTGAAGTGTAATTGACAGATGAAACTTTCAAGACGGCGACTGGGCGCCATCTGGGAAAAAAGTTGAGTAGAAAGGGGGATTTTGTGACACACCATTTTGAAGCTCCTGACGAATACTTTGCAAACCTAGAATATAAAGTCAATATCTTCACCTACTACAAAATGGCGAAACATTCAATAATTTCTAAAAATGTTCCTATTCATCTGTCATATAGCAATTCCAACAACCCGATAAGGTTTGTTAGGTTATTTTTTGTTTATAAAAACGACAAAAAATATCAGTACGACAATGAACATAATTGTTCAGTTAGAATATTCTCATTTAGTTTTCGGTTTTACTAGTAGAAAGGTATCACGTCAACAATCTCTAAAATGGTAAGTTCTCTTCTATTGGAATAAAAAATAAAAGCGATTTTTATTTGCGGTGCGACGCGTTACTTTCACGAGACCGAAATGATTTTCAATGAACGTTTTCCGAATCGTCCTATCTGTAGAAAATATGTGAGGAAACTTGTATCCAAATTCAGAATTACCGGCAGTGTACATAAAAAAAGCCCCCAGGTCATCCGTCCATTCCGGAAGAACAGCAAGTGCAAATAATTGGTGAGATAATAATAAATCCTGAACAGTCTACTCATTCCGTCTCAAATGTTTGTGAGGTGTCTTCTTCTACTGTGTGGAGACTTTTGAAGAGAAATAGATAGCATCCATACAAAATTAAAATGATACACCAATTAACTGAAGATGACCCTGATCGAAAACGGAATTCTGCGAAATCATGACGGAAACCATTGCAAGGCATCCTACCTCTCTCCACAATATTTGTTTTAGTGACGAATGTACATTTTTTCGATGTACATTGCCGTTATTGGAGTGACACTAACCCTCACGTTTTCCGGGAAACACATACCCAATATCCAGAAAAAATTGACGTTTGGGCAGGAATATTGGGAAAGCATATTGTAGAACCTCTATTTATTGATCAAAATCTAATGGAGGAATTGTATTTGAATATGCTGGAAACTACGGTTGACCGTCTCATCACTGATATTGTTGAAGTGAATCCCAATGAATTAGATATGGATATTGTATTCCAACAAGATGGAGAACCACCACATTACTTCAGATGAGTAACAAACTATTTGGATACTACTTTTCCCAGTTGTTGGATTGGCCGTCGAGGTCCTACAGAATGGCCAGCCAGCTCGCTAGATTTGACACCTTTGGACTTTTTTTATGGGGAAGCAAAAGGTGTAAGAAACTGAACCTACTCCAATATTGGAAATACGGCAGAGAATAATAAATATTTGTAGAGCTATTGACGTTACTGTGTTCGAAAATGTTCGCCGTGAAATATCGGATAGGCTGTTCATATGTCAAGAAGGTCAAGGCAACCATTTCGAGCATCTTTTGAACTGACCTCAAGCTTATTACCTCATATTATATGGTTGAATGTCAATGTATTCAGGCAATTATTAAAATTTTTGCCATTTTGTAGTGGTTGAAGATATTGACATGATATTCTAGGATTGTGAAGCATTCATAATGAGCTTCAAAAGGATGAGTCACAATTTTACTTCAAAATGAAGTATTCATGCATTAGTTTCATTATTCTAAATTTCAATTTTTTCAGTTGACCCGTTCATAAAATAAAAGGGGGGTGCATTAAAGAAATTCACTGTATGAACAGACATCCACACGCAGATGAAGGAATTTCAGTTGAAAGTGCGTTACAAAGTGATCTATTACCGCCATAGATATTTGAGTATTAGTCTGAAGTTTCAGTTGATGTGTTTGTGTTGTATTGTCAGTGGAGCAGTGAACTAAAGTTTCAATTTCAATCTGAATTGTCTACTATCTGGAATGTGAACGTGAACAGTTTCTTTTCTCTAGAGAGCAAGCAAAGTTTTCATACCAAGATATTATTTTCAGTACACTCTAATGAGTAAATCATTCAAGTATTTATGTTATCGATACCAAAGGCATTTAAAAACAGTTTCGAAAGTGAATTTATTGGATATTTCCATAAAAGCGAAACTTGCATCGAATCGAAATTATGAAACAACAAAAATTAATTGTCGCTCCAGGGCGACTTCATTGATTCCAGAGGCGCATTTGCTTCTTCAGCTGCAGGAGAACCCGGAGAAACCTGCAACACTACATCACCTGAAGATCTTGATTTGCCAATGTTCTCTCTTTCATAAAATCAAATGTAGGGTGACACCAGAGGCTCCAATAAATCCAAGACAATGCCAGAATACGTCTTTAACCAATGCGTAATAATGACCAGATTCAATGCCAGAACCACACTGAACAATGACTGCATGAAGATCATTATAGTGGTCTGCTAGATGAAAGTGTTCATCTACTTCTAACCTTCGTCAGAGGTTGAGTCATGTTTGAAGATCGTCAGTGTTATTATTAGATTGACTGTTGCCTCAGCTATACTTGTTTTCTTATAATAGTCAGTTAGTTTGGCGCATGTTTGGCAATACAGTTAATCATCACCCGTTAAAAGTTTTATATTCAGATGATTTAACAGTAAGCTTTGCAAGGACTGCTTATCAGTCATATTAGGAAACGCTAGTTGAAGTTCCAGAAAATCACATATGTTTTCGCTATCTTTTGAACGTTTACTACAAAACAAGTGAGGATTTTTCCAGCGAAACATCTACAAACACAAAACGAGATGGACTGTATGGAATCAATCAACCCAGAGTGGTAAGAAGTAAGGATTTTGCTATTTTTCTGCTCACGAAAAATATTCAACAAGAACCCCAAGAATTCGAAGCAATCCCCTTGTTGTCCTAACGATTATCTAATGGACTTCAAAGACTCCAGGAAATCGGTTGGTGGAAAAGATGATACATTCTTACGAAACTGCAACTGCATGAACAATGGTTTGAGTTTGGTGAATAAATAAGAAACACTCTCGTTCTCGTTGATCGTTAAAAACTTGTTCTTGAAATTCTTCGTCATGAACAACACTTGTGAAATGCTATTCATGTAGCAAGTGTTTTCTAAATTATCTAATCCAATTTTCCTCTCGAAGTTTTCAGGAAAACTGTCTATTGATTCGTAAAGAAGAACATGTTCCACAGAATCTGTATCAGAACCATTTCTCAAGCTGCAATCTATCCTTCCAAATGATGAAGGGTTTCGTAGAGGGATCGATTCGGCTCTTGCTTCATGAAGTTTTTCTACTGAAAGGTAACCGAAACCACACGGATTGCCGCTCATATTTGGAGGACAAGAATGACCTAAGTCTATTGACCGCACTGAAAAAGAAGAAGGTGGCACAATCACTTGCGAATTAACCTTGATAGGAGATATAAGATATAAGTTGTGAAATCAGAATAGAAATTATAAAGCTTCCACATATTTTAAACAAACAACAGAAACAGTGGCCTCATTTATGAATAAACAAAATATTCAAGTTGCATATAGAACAGGTATTACGTCGGTAAAGTTAGTCAGAAATAATCAAGACAAAACATTCAAATCTGAGAAATCAGCAGTATACGAATTAAATTGTGAAACTAGCCCTAAAGTTTATATTGGTCATACCAGCAGAATATTCAGGAATCGCATCCAGGAACATCATATGAGGTTTAAAGCTGAATCATATGGAAACGTTGGAGATCAATAAACTCTAAAATTCAAACATTTAACTGAATGACCATCAGTAGATCCCCATTGCTGGATTTGTTTTTTTTTAGAAACCGATGTTATCCTAATCTTTGTAGTCATATTATTGATGTAGAAGTAATTTATGATTTGCGTAATTATAATTGAGTATGTACCTGAGCAGATAGTTCTCACTGGCGATTACGTGGGGAATATGAAAGTTAAAGAAAAAAATTAGTACTCAGTATGTTATTTACTACGAAAATGCTACTGTGATGGCGTTATATTTTTCTAATTAAAGTTTGTGAAGATCAAATCGTTTGCGGTGTAGTTTGTAAAATAACTATGGATCTTCATCAATTAATGGCCAAGTCAACCAGAAGAAGATGTTGAATCTGTAACAACAATAAAATGAGAGGGTATTACTATTGATTGTACAATTATCAGATCACACAGTAGACCGTTGACTTGTGATGAACGCTTTGTATGGTATTTTTATCATCTAAACTTTTTCACTTCAACTATAACTATTGTTTCTAAGTCAATTCAGTTTATTGTACTCCTTATTTTTCAGTTCAATCGCCGAGATTTCCCCCATCTCATCCAGTGCCTTGTGAATGTGATCCTCAACAAAAAGGTAACTTTTTTCATTGAGCTCCAGTTATAAAGGGTGTTTAAAATTCAGCCCTATTAGGCTAGCAAGGCGAATCCAGCAAATTTGCAAAAAAAAAACATCAATTTGTAGCTAATTAGTTGCCAAAACAACGATTTTGTTGCTCGTGCCGATCCCTAGAAATCGCAAATAATGCTATCGTGATATCAAGATAGCAAGGTAACTCAATAAATTATATACTTTCCCTTCGATCTTCACAGAATATTTAGTTGCTAAACCTTGGATATAGCGAAAAAATTTTGAATATTTTTTTTTGAATGTTTTATAATCTTGCTATCTTGAAACTGTTTTTTCCTGGAATTAAAGATGTTCTAAATTTGTTGCTCACCAAGAGTGAACCTGAATATATCTTGAGTATTAGCAACAAAATAGTTGAAACCGATCGGCCGATTTTCAATTTTTTTTTTTCATTTTCCTCGTTCTTGCTATCTTGTAACTGGTTTTCCTTAGAATGAAAAGTGTTTCATATTTGTTGCTCGCCGGGAGTATACTCAAATATATCTTGAGTATCAGCAACAAAATAGTTGAAACCGATCAGAGGTATTTCAAGTATTTCGAAAGGAATTGATTGTTAGCCGACATAAAAAAATTGTTTAGTGCTGGCACATAAGTGTTTTGTCACTACTGAGTTCATACTGTATGTTATGTGATAACAGGAAGTGAAAATAGTATTACTTCATAGTTATTCTGAAAGAAAACACATTCTTCTCAATCCTAAATCTATTTATTTTTTTCTGACCCTATTCATAATTTTTTTTCACAAACACAACTTCAATAATTTTCTTTAGTTTTTTCAGTTGATCATAATTTGTTTTCAATATTATGAGATTCTTTTAAAAATCCAAAATCTAGTTGATGTTGAATTTTTTAGTAGCTCGTTCACCACTAATTACAATAATTTTTCATATGATGGTTTTGTATTATTCTGTCGAAATTCTATCGTGTTAGGTTTCTTTTTGTTGAAAGTATCAATTTCCAGAAGGCAGATGATTTATCACTCCGATGACTGTTATTATTTCAGTTGAGAAAATTAACGAATGATAGTTTCAAAATAGTAGTGGTGATTTTATTAATATCAGATTTTCCATTTTCCACTTCTTTCGTAATTTTCGAAGCAAGTAAGTCGGTCATTTTGGAACCATTGAACTTTGTATGGTCAGTATTATCTAAGATATGAAATCTTATCGCAATTGTATCTGGCATTCTGTCAGTAGATAATTATCAAACAATTCAAATTGCTTCTACTTTTGCAGAACGATTTATCTTTTGCCTTAAAAAGACCTCAGTTTCAGTAGTAACATCTTCATTCGAGCAAAATTTTTTACCGTTGAGCATTTTCTTGAGGTTTGTAAACAGCCAGTAGTCGCTGGGAGCCAAATCTGACAAATAAAGTGGATGTGGATATAATATTCACTGTTGACGGTTTTCCTTCTGAAGATAGTCGATGAATATTACAGCACGCGCATCCCAGAATACCAAGGCGTCAACCTTTTCAGCCGATGGTTGATCGTCGATTGATACATCGTCATAAATGCGAAAATACGAAACTAATCTATTTAGTAGGTCGCTATTAGCGATAGTGAAAATTAAGTTGGTATGACGCAGTCAGTTTCTGAATTTTCGAAATTGAATTAATACCAATTGTGTGTTGTTATTCTGTTCTCAATTTGTTACTTCAATAATTCACATTATATTGAAATGGCATACACAAATGAGGAAATGGCTGATATGCATTACGTTTACGATCTGTCGCAGGGGAACGGGTTAGATGCTTTTAGAAGATATGCTGAAATGTATCCTCAACGGCAGCATCCTCTACATAGAATATTTGCTCGACTTCATCAACGATTACGAGAATATGGTTCATTCGATAAAAGAACGCAGGATTGTGGTCGCCATCGAGAAGTACGAACACCACAGCTTGAGGAAGCAGTACTTAATTTGATTGAAGAACAACCTACTACCAGTACTAGAAAGATTGCTTTCCAGCTAAATTTTGATCATATGACGGTATTTCGAATTTTAAAGGAACAACTCTTATACCCTTACCATCTGCAACAAGTACAGGTACTGTTACCGCGAGACTTCCCGAACCGTCATGAATTTTGCAATTGGATGCTGGAAATAATTAGAAGAAATTGTGACTTTCTGAAGACGATAGGATTCACAGACGAATGTAGTTTTTCTCGGGACAAAATTATTAATTTTCATAATTACCACATATGGGCTGATGAAAACCCTCACGCTATTGTCGAAACTAATCATCAAGAACAGTTTTCTCTTGAAGTGTGGCTCGGAGTTATTGGGGATGATTTAATTGGGCCTCATTTTCTACCTCCTCGATTAAATGGTGAGGCATACGTTCAATGTTTAAGAGAAGTGCATCCAGTACTGCTGGAGGAAGTTCCTTTGGGCGTCAGAAGGGATATGTTTTTTATGCATGATGGGGCTTCCATCATGGTCGAGGAGGACCACAGAACTGGCACGCTCGATCCCCAGATCTCAATCCTCTCGATTTCTCTATTTGGGGCCATTTACAGCATTTGGTTTATCGTACTCCTGTTCGCGATGTAGAGGACTTGAGAAACCGCATCATCGATGCGTGCAGGGTAATCAGAGAGACTCCAGAAATATTTGAGCGAATACGTGGCTCAATGCGCCGACGTCTAGACGCATGCGTAATGTCTGAAGGTAGACATATTGAACATTCACTATGATTTCTACATGTTGTGTGTTTTGTTAAAATGAATTAGGTAGGTACTAGCTACAAAATAACAATAAATCCATTTCGCATTTATGACGATGTATCTCTGTAGTTGTTCGTTGTAGTTGTAGTTGCTGCGAGCTGGTTTATTTTAGGCAAAAAACCCTAGAGACATTTTTTATTTAGAATGAAACAGGCTATCGGAAATGAATTCTTAAATGGTAAACAAATAATAAGACAAAAAGTTACATTGGAAATAAATTTTAGGGGTTGCGTTTTCCACCCCTAACAACCATGGGATAAACCAAATAAATTTCTGGCTGAGTGTCTTTTTGGTAGTACAAAACGTCAGGTTAATTTCAATATTGTAACTTTTTCAGTGCTTGTGAAAAAAATTGTTATACAAATTTTATGTACCCCCTTCAAGGGGCTGTATCTCAACAAGGGATGCTCCAATGAAATATCTCTATATGAAAGATCCTTTTTTTTTCGATGAGGAATCACCTCTTTGAATGTTTTACACTTACTCAGTTACACCCTGTATAATAATATATGCAGTATAAATAAAGTCTACTTGAACTAAATATATAACAAAAGATTAACATATTGGGGATTTGACAAATTTAGAAATAAATTCACGTATATGATCGAATTGAGAAAAAAGGATGACATATTAATTAATTATTATTTGTAAATAACAAGAAAGGAAGAAAGTGAGCTAGATGATGGTTTGTTTAATTTTGGATAATATGGTGTTCAGTGGATCTAAATCAATAATAGACAGTGATCTGTCTACGTGTAGTAGCTTAAGGTACGTTGAAGTTAATTTGTTCTAGTAACGAGGGTGCATCTATGGAACAATGAAAAATTTTGTATAATATAACAATACTTGATGAAACTATACGTTGTTCCAAGTAAGGCAGACCGAATCTTTGAAGTAGTGTGGAGTGGTCAGTTCCTCTAGCAGGGTACAGGCCATCAGTTCTAAATGCAAGAAATTTCAGAAAACGCCTTTGCACATTTTCCTAGGTTTCCTTATGTACATTATAGGGAAGATAATAAATCAAAGTAGCATACTCTAACTTGGAGCATATGAGAGATGTATGAAGTATGGTTGAGGCGATAATATTGGTCAATGATATACAGTTGCGCAAAACGAAGCCAAGCCTTTTTTTAGACGATGCCACGACAGTATTTGTGTGGCCAACAAATGTCAACCTACTGTCGAACGTCACCCCCAGATCTTTGACAGCTCTTCGCGATGGAGTATTTCATCCTCAGACGTATAAAAATACTCAATAATATTCGCATCACATGTAAAGCAGCCAACATTGCAATTTTTAACATTCATTGCAAATTTATTGACTTGATACCATTTATCTATCAGATCTAATTGAGACTGAAGATGAAAGCAGCTCTGTAAACTTACGATAGATGAAAATATCTTCAAGTCGTCTGCGAAAAGTAAGTTGCCACACGAAAGCTCGGAGATGAGATCATTCATGGAGATAATGAAAGGCAGGGGTCCCAAATTGGAGAGCCTTATGACACATCGGATGGTGATAAGTATGATGCAGACGCAAATCCATTCTAAAAAATAACATTGGTTCTCTGATCTAAATAAGAGCGTAGAAGTTGAGTAAGTAGAAGTTGAGTTAGTGTTTATAACGTCAACTCGTTCTTTTCTGTCCACTACTTCTATCAAAAACTGCTTGATACTGCAGAGATTCGATACAGTGGACATATTTGCTATAAAGATACGCTGGTTTGCAGAGATCAGGGGTTTAACTTGCGGCATCAGTTGGCCATACGCAGATATCTAAAAGGCCTTCACGAAGTGATTTGAGAATAGGGAGACTTTTGATTGATCCCATCGTTCAGGAAAATGAGATTTGCTTAGGATTGTGTTGTATATTTTTTACAATGGACAAGCAGAAACCTGAGCACAGTCTCTCACTAGGAAGCTAGAAATAAGATCATATCCAGAAGTCATTTCATTGGGTAATTTCAACAGTTTTCTTTCTTTTGGAGACTAGCACTAACTGAAAAAACGGTGAATGCAATACGACTAGCGTCATTTATATGCTAGGTTCGAGATTTTTCAGACCATGTAGTAGATGATATACAGTACATTTCTGTAATGTCCCCTCCTTTTATTTTTTGAACGGGTCAACTCAAAAAAATTGAAATTTGAGATAATGAAATTAATGCATGAATACTTCATTTTGAAGTGAAATTGACAGATGAAACTTTCAAGATGGCGACTGAGCGTCATCTGGAAAAAAAAATTGAATGGAAAGGGAGGTCTTGTGATACATCTTTTTGAAGCTCCTGACAAATGCTTCACAATCCCAGAATATAATGTCAATATGTCCATCTACTACAAAATGGTGGAACTTTTAATAATTGCCAAAATACATTGACATTCAACTTCATAATATGAGGTAATAAGCTTGAGGTCAGTTCAGAAGATGCTCAAAATGATTGCCTTGAACTTCTTGACATATGAACAGCCTGTCCGATATTTCACGCCGAACATTTTCGAACACAGTAACGTAAATATGTCTACAAATATTAATTATTGTCTGCCGTATATCCAATATTGAATCAGATTCAGTTTCGTACACCTTTTACTTCCAATAGCCCCATAGAAAAGTTCAAAGGTATCAAATTTGGCGAGCGAGCTGGCCATTCTGTAGGACCTCGAAGGTCAATCCAATGACCGGGAAAAATAGTATCTAAATTGTCTCACTATTGATTCTACTCAATAACTTTATCTGACTGTAATTTGTGAAATTATTTTCTATACAAAGCGATCTGTGTCCACATATTCGCGTAAACTGTTCCATTTAAAATTCTTATAAATTTGTCTCCTTCTCTGATAAAAATCAAAATACCCTTTGTATGTCTATTTGAGGAATAACAAATTCAATATGCGAATCCTTGAATTTGGCATATTTGGATATCTATTGCAATATAATATTATTATTAATTATTCACCACAAATCTACAAACAACCTTCAGTATTATTTCTAAAGAACTAGGTGAATAAAAGGTGAGAGTTCAATTTTCTTTCAACACTGGGAAAAGAGAAACTGGGGTTCCACTCAAGCCTTTACTACAACCTAAAATAAGTTTCAGAATTTCATGTGAATCACCGAAGTTGCGTTTCATGATGAAGTGAACTCTGAATATTTAGAAATGTTATATAATTTGTTTTTTATTGTCAATATAGTGTTCACTTGGTGCAACGTGGTCAAAAGATATACCTACAATTTTTATTTTCTTTTTGGTATTTTCACAATTTACATAGGCTTTGATAGCTACGTCACATTTTTTTCCTGTGGTACAATTAGAACAAACTTAAGAATATCGACATATTTCAGAAATGTAGTCCAATTTGAAGAATTTGAAATTTTGAATGATATCACAATCGATTATTCTACAAGTTTTCCATCCAGTATTTAAGAATTCCTTAGATTTTAGAGAAATTGTTAGCTCCAAATTTACCACGTACGAAAATTATACTAATTTTCAAATATTTGCCTGCAGGTTAGTTTCTTGTAATTATTATATTTTTTCGAATAGATTCTCATGTGAATCGTTCTTGAGTATTGATTTTCATTGCCGTCACTTCATAATCTGCTGCCATCAAATTCTAGGTTCATTTTGAAATATTTGCATTTATTCAACTACAACTCACAACCAAACTTGCAATCAAAACAAATTTTATTTTTGTGACTCCTACTCCCTTGGAACAGATATCAACTTTTCCTTCCAATGCTTTTTGAAATTCTATTTTTAACTGTTTCCCACATTTTCAGCCACAATTCCTTTTTTTGTCACAATTTTTGATAGTTTCGGCATGAGTGGTTCTATTCATTGTACTACTTATATATTTTCACATAACATAAGAGAATATCGAAACATACAGGTTTAGAATGTATGCTGAATTAGTTCTCTATTTTTTAAAGAATTATTCTATACTTTCAATGAAAGCGATTTGTTTTTCAGTATGATTCAAGCTACATCTTTATATTTCAGTACCATTCCAAATATTTTCTTCGTCCCGTGGACCAATGCAGAGTTTGAATCAAAGTGGGCCGCCAGGATCAGGTAAATTCTCATTTATTGAAAAACTTTATAATTTTATTTTCACTCTCAAGTCTGATCATGCCTATTATCTGTAATAATATTCATTGTCTATGTGATAGTTCTGAATTATGATTCCTCCATAAGAAACATGTAGTTTATGATAAACTACCATTTTAAAAAATATTAGAAAAATAAATATAGCAGTCTCCATGACGTGATGCACCATTGTTTGTGTCAATCAAGACATTGTTCAAACTACTCAAAGAAATCAGGCAATAAAATCCATAGAATAATTTCAATAATTGATTCCTAAGCCTCATTTCAATTTGATTGGTGAATGGAATCCCTGAAAAAATCTAGATTTCAAATAAATTTATATAATATCAGACAATGGAAGTCCGAACTAATGAAATGCACCACGAAACATTGTCAACTACCTTCAAACAAAGATCCTAAACGGTGATACCAAAACTATCGCAAAATATCCAATAACCATGAAATATATAGGGTCTTCCATTGAGCGTTCCCTATCTCTGAGTTCGAATGAAAAGTGTGAGATATCATCGAAACATCGTTCAAATGTCTGCTACAGCTTCTCTGGGTGGAGCGTATATTGAACGTCCAATTTTTCATGACTCTGAGGCATAAATCAGGCTAAATTTGACCAATGACATATGTTATATTAGCTTTGAGGGCCGCTATGGTTTGTGGCTCATTCGCATACATCTGTGACTTAAGAAAACCCCACAAGAAAAAGTCTAACGGAGTCAAATCGTACGATCTCGGCAGCCAATTCACATCACCACCAGGTTAGATGACCATGCTTTTGAATCGCTCGTGCAAAATCCAATGTGGTATGAGCTGTGTTACACGTAGCGCCATCCTGTTTGAACCACATGTTGTTGGTGTTCAAACCATCCAATTCAGGCCAAACAAAGTTGGTAATTATTGAACTATAGTGACAGTGATGGCCTGGTCAACGTTGTTCTCAACTGGCCCAAAATCTACACCAAACAGTGACTTTTTCGAAATGCATTGGATGCTCTTATATCTCATGTGAATTGTTATCTTCCCAAATTCGATAATTTTGTTTGTTCACGTACCCATTTATCCAGCCTCATCGCTGAACATGAGTTTTCAATGAAAGTTAGGGTCAGTTGCCAACTGCTCCAGAGCCTATTCAGAAGAAAAAGAAAAAATAAAATAATATTTTTATTGAAATAGGTTATCCCAATACACAATATTATATAAAACATATCACTAACATAGAAATTGAAAATAATTATATAAAAAAATCTTAAAATGTAGAAATTGAAAATAAAAATTTTTATTTTGAAAAATAACGACATATATTATTAAAAGTACATTGCAATATACAGCTCTGATACAATAATAAAAAGCAAAAAACACCATACAGATACTATATTTAATAATATTATCTTACCAAGTATTATTCTATCTAGCATTATGAATGGATTTCAATAACTCTTTTTTACAAATACTCAATGATGGACTAGATTCAATTTCATTTGGTAATTTATTGTATACATCAAACCCTTTGATAAATAAAAAATTCATGGCACTTCTCCTATTTGTTCTGCATAAATGCGAATCAGTATCATTTCTTGTGGCATATTTGTGCACTCCTAAATCTGAACTAACAAATTCAGAAAAATATGAAGGTGATACGTTATTCAGAATTTTATATAAATGTCATAGTTGAGTAATACAATCGTAAAGTAACTGGTAGCCACCGATTTCAGTAAATCTATTCACTTTTAAAACAATTCGCATTCCGCGATTTTGAAGTTTTTGTAATTGAGATGTTTGATTTAAATTAAACAAGAAAATAATAGAAGCACAGTAATCAAAATATGGTTGGATGATCGCATTGTACACAGTAATTTTAGACTGAGTGGTAAATTACCAGAAATTCTTGCAAAAAAATATAGTTTTTAGATATTTTTCTACATATATAATCGAGTTGATTGCCAAAAAGTAATAAATTATCTAACTGGAATCCAAGATATTTAATACATAATACAAATTCAATGTTTTCATTATTAATTTGTAGATTTATTTCATTTAAATCAAGGTTGTTCCATTTATGTTTTTTTGTGATAATGATTCCTTTAGGTTTCATTTTATTCAGTTTTAATTTATTTGCCATAAGGTACCCATTTACATCCTTCAATTCGGCATTCATTTTATCAATAGCTTTATCTAAGCTTGTATCGTAGCATGCCAATAGTGTATCATCTGTAAATGAATTTATAAAATCAACATTTATAAACAAGTTCATGTCATTCAAGTATGAAATAAAAAGCAGAGGTCCTAAAACGCTACTCTGAGGCACACCTATATGTATATCCAATTCCTGTGAGATATTTTCTTGAACTCTGACTTTTTGCTTTCTATGGGTTAAATAGTTAGGTAACCATTGGTAAACATCACCATCAATGCCATAACCTCTTAATTTTATTAGAAGAATATTAGGATCAATTATTTCAAATAATAGGGGAGCCCAAACGGGGATTTCGGGATTCACTAAAGCGCAACAGAATAATATACAGGGGGATACCTTGTACCCGGTTAAGTACCTCCACCAAATATGAACCCCATATATAAGGCCGCCTTTCAGGGATAAAGGATCAGATTAGTAAAAAAAATTGATCATCAGAAATTTTCGAGCGCGTCAGATTAAGGTAGGAATTTGCATGCTATTTCCTGAGCTTTCCAATGAATTTTTTTCAATGAATTAATTTTTTTTTTAATATTGTTTTTGTCAGATTAAGCGAATCCCTCTAGATAATCGGGATTATGAGACAGCACGTCTAAAACATAAAGATGAACCATATATATCTCAATCTGACGCGCTTGAGTATTTCAAAATAGTGAATTTTTTTTGCACATTATAATAATGGCCAAGAATTTGCGTCAGATCAAAATCGTCATATTATTGAATGAGCGCTTTTTTTTGTTGCAGTTAACACCCCCTTAGAAAATCTGACGCGCTCGATTAAATTGTTTTTCTTTTCACTTCTAACCCTTACGTACAACCACCCACATCATGCAAACAATCAGATTAACATACCAACATTATTAAAAATACGTCGGACATTGATGCTATTAATATCTGACGCGCTCGAGTATATCCATGCAACAGTATTGTTTTACATATTTAAAAATCTATACCCGCTTCTCCTACCGATGAAAAAGTATATATTATATAACATGTTTTTCTTCTTATCATCTGAGCTTTGCGACCTAGTATGTCCCAATGACGCTCGAGTAAATCCCCATTTTGCATCGTGGGCTCCCCTGCTAAAAAACCCTCTTCAGATCAAGAAAAACAGCTACTACAAATTTATTGTTATCAACTTCTTTTTCGAATTTAGATAAAGTGAGTTGTAATGCGGATTCGCATGAATATTTTTCACGAAATCCAGATTGATTATTTAATAAAATCTCATTTTTTTCAACAAGCACAAGTCGTTATCTATGGTCGTTTACCTTCAGTTCCTGGATCAGCTGAATTTTGTAAGGTGCAGGCTCAAGTCGAGACACAAAATTCGCCAAGTTGTGGTCTGCGAAAGGCCGAGCTCTTGTGAGCGACGCGAAATAAACTGACTCGGATTCTTCTGCACAATCTCACAGACATCGGCGATGTTTTTGGCAGATTTTGCGTTGACGTACGTCTGGTCGATCGTTCACCAAACCAGTGTACTCAAGCTCACCCACCCCATTGCAAATAGTCCACTCGCTAGGACGATTATGGCCATCGGAAAACGGGCGAAGCGCGCGGTACGTTGTCCAAACAGAACACCCATTTTGATGAAACTTCATCAGTTGTACGTGTTGTTGAATGCTTTATCCATCTATGGTGATTTGCCGAAACAGACTGAATGAATGACAACTAATTTGCAGACGTAGTTTTAACAAGATGGCCGTTATCAATTGTCAATGTTCGGAAGTCGCTGTTGGAAGACCCTACATACATTTGTAAGTGAATGTTTCGCCGGTAATAATCCTTCGAGGTTGGTGTGGTTTTATATTGAAGAAAGGAAGAGTTAAAATGTGAGTCATGTTACGAAGAAGAATCAATTCACCTTCAACCAAATAAATTTCCGCAAAAAATATCTGGTCAAAGGAGAATTGGAACTCACGATCGTTGGATTGCACACGTCTATACACAACTCAACCTCAAGCACTTATTGAATTACACAAAATGTGTTTAGGTAACAACACGTCGACTACCAGAGTCATCAACCTCAAATAACGATTTGTTTTCAAGAAATATGGTGTTTTTCAGCGAAGATAAAAAAACAATTTTGAAAAAAATAAACTATGTTTGGTGAATTATTGCGAAATTCTATAAATTAAATGTTCTCCAATTATCGATTTGATATTCCAAGTCACTAAATTATTCGAATACCTAACTCTTGTTAAACGATTGTGTTGGTTACTGTTTATTTTGAAAACTCAAGTTGAGTGTTAAACACTTTTTCCAAATGTATGAAGGTGCAAAGTTTCAGTTTGTATAACGTTGACGTGTCTGAAACAATTTTGTAGTTTTAAAAATAAATAATCGATTTTTCAAAATCTGATTTGGAAATAAATGATCGCTAATTCATTATTTGAATATGTCATTCCTTCATAAATTGATTCATTTCTCATTTTTATTATCTGTTATTCGCTTCATATTGAAGTGTAAATTGAATATTTTAATTTTCAGTTCGTGGCCAAAAAAATAGAACTATCATGCAGAATCAGAATGAGAGTTTGTTTCTTCGCACAGGTAAGTACGAGCACTCATTCAAAAGTTATAGCCAAAGTGTATCGAGTTCAACTGGTCAAAGTGTATGCACAAGCATCATTTTCAAAATTTTGTTAAAAAAAATCGTTTGATAAAATTTCAAGACCACAAATCGAGGACCAATGAACATTTTTGAAAATCATTAAAGTGCACTCATTTTGACACGGAAGTGTACGAGGGATATATTTTTTTTATTTAGTTAAAATAATTTCAATTGGGTACATACAGGAGGATGGTCTGAGAAGTTTTCGACTTAATAAAGATACAAGACATTTTTTCAGGAAATGTATTTCTTTATTTCTTAAGATGGTCTTTTTTCCAGCCTTGTCTTGCCATCAGCATTGCCATCAGTACCACACAGTCAGCGACCATGGAGATCCTTCTAGATCTCCCCCTCTCCACATTTTCTTGGAGAGAGAGTCTAGACTGCCAATTGCACAAATCAATTCAATGCAGAGTGCAACAGACTGTTAGTTTACACTGGAAGTCAGAGCATTCTGGATATGACCTCCGACTTTATGCTTCCAACTGTCAACTACGAACTGCCTTATAAAGTAATTGTTCGGACTAGTCAGTCCTACTGTGATTTCGTCTGATTTAAAGTCAAATAAATCAGGAATCAAACTTTAACTATTTTTAATCTTCAATTTCAAAATTATATTGTATATTATTATACTGTAGTGATGGAATCACTACAGTATTGAATTCGTTCTTCAAATATTTGTATCGTTTTCTCCAATTAATTTGCATATTTTGGCAACAGGTCGTTTATAGATTCCTGTTTGGGTTTTCACTTCGACAACTCGAATTTTTCCGTCCTTCCCTTCATAAACCTTCTGTATTTTTCCGATTGGCCACATATTTCTGGGAAGTGTGTCGTCCACAACAACTACAATGTCATCCAGGGAAATATTTTCTTTCTTAGAGTACCATTTGGTATTTTTGTTCAAATTGACCAAATATTCTTTTTGCCATCGCCTCCAAAACATATCCGCTAGCGCTTGGGTGACTCTCCGATGTTTTCTGCAGTTTGCGTCGCTTATCTCAAATTCTCCTGTAGGTGGTGCAGATCCATCAGAACATTGAAGTAGGAAATGATTGGGGGTTAGGCTCTCAGGATCCAGAGCATCGTTCGAAACGTAAGTCAGTGGTCTGCTGTTCACCATGTTCTCAACTTCAGCAATAAGTGTTTGAAGTGCCTCTTCTTTGGGATGTCTCTCTTTCAATGTAACTTTCAGCACATTTTTAACCGATCTTACAAGTCTTTCCCAACTTCCGCCAATGTGAGGTAAAGATGGCGGTATAAATTTCCACGTTATAGATTTAAAGCATGAAAATTCCGAAATTTTTGTTGAGTCAAAGTTTTTTATTGCTTCTATCAGTTCTCGATCAGCAGATTGTAGATTGGTGCCATTGTCGGAATGTATTTCTCTTGGATATCCCCGTCGACTAATGAATCTTCTGATGGTCATGATGGCACTATCAGTATCGAGCGAATGTGCAATTTCCAAGTGGACTGCTTGAATACTCATGCAGGTCAAAAGCACGATATATCGTTTTTCAGTTCTCTTTCCAACAGTTACTACCATTGGACCAAAATAGTCAATCCCTGTAATAGTGAAGGGTCTTGTGAAACTTTGTAGTCTGCTTTCAGGTAATTGCCCCATTTCAGGTACTTGAGGTTGGACTCTCATTTTCCTGCAGAAGGAACATTCGGTTTTGCATTTGCGAACTGCACTTCTCATTTTCAAAATCCAAAGTTTCTGGCGGATTTCATTCATAATGAGTTCTTGTCCTTGGTGGTTAAGTTAATATGATAGTGCTCAATTAGCAATTTCGTGAAACGATGTTTTTGATCAAGTATTGCTGGATGTTTCTGGAAATAGGTGAGATCTTTGGCTTGCTCAAGTCGTCCTCCTATCCTTAGTATTCCTTCATCATCAAGTAATGGCGTCAGGGTATATATACGGCTTGATTTATTGATAGTCCTTTTGTTTTGTAAATCTGCAATTTCTTGATGGAAACATTCGTTCTGTACATATTTTATATACATTCCTGAAGAGATTCCAGCTGATTGGCCGTTAATGAGGTAGTCGAATAATCAAGATGCAAAATTCCCACCTTGATATCCGCGACAAACTTCCCATTAGTGTCTTTCAGCATGCAGATACATCTGATGATGTCTCAAATTCAGCCGTGCAGGGCTTTTTCGCCTCCGATTTCGGTGAATCATCAATTGAGCGCAAACGTTCGCTAACCTATTCATGTGTCTGTCGTATGTTCCTTCACCTGAGATATATTTTGTATACACCGCTCAAGAATTTGGTGCAAGGCGGTTTCATAAGGTACTCCCCCCTTGCGGAGGCGACTCAGTCGTTTCCTGGCTGCATCACCAAACCTTTTTTTCAGGTTCAGTTATTGGATCCGTAGTTGGAGCATTGAGAAGTTCTCGCTCCTGAACCAAATTTACAGGGAGGTCTATTGGAGTCGTAAACTCAACATTCATCTCCTCTGTAGACTCATCGTCAATAATGCGTCTTTCCAACTGAGACTTTCTAAATTCCAACAAAATTCACTGTTGAAACCAATAAAAAAAGTACCAATTGAAAAAAAACAGCAGATTCAAGAAATGGTTATGATAAAAAAAATACATATCATTAGAACGAATCAAATTATTTTTTTTTTTCAGGTCCATATCAAGAACAAGGCTCACGAAACGGTACACAAATGCAGAGTCTCAATGAAAGTAGTTTTCTTCGTACATCAGGTATTGATTCGTTGAATAATATACACGCATCAGGATTCGCTAATGAAAGAAATGTAGAGTTTTTGGTAGCACAAAATTATCATTGATTATCAAGTCGAATAGAACAAATTCATAATTCACACTGTATCAAAACCATTTTTCCGGATTCATTGTCGGTGGTCTACAAGTTTTCTGCCTAGTGTTTCGTCTACTACTGCGGTAGAAACCATAAAAAGCATTAAGAGCTTGAGTTATACTCATGGCAGACACTACATTATTGAAACGTGTGTAGGGTTTTATTTCATGAAGGATGATTAATATACAATAACTATTAGCTAGTCAAATTCCATCCAAATATCAAATCTCTCTTCTTTTCCATTAAAATTGTCTCTGAGTTTATGAATGTATTTCGCCTCGCTATACCGGGTGACATTGAAATCATTGTTTGTTGTTTGTCAGACAAAAAATTCAAAACAGGAGTTCAGGTCATTGGAGCTCATATTTCTACAAAAAATCAATTCAAAATCTTTTGCGGTTCAACCAGAAATGGTGCCAAGTCAAAAATTCTTAACGAATCCCTGTATATTTTCCAAACTTTCGATAGAATGTGAAAATAGCTTTCAAATTATAGAAATAAGTGGTCATTTATATTCAAAATGGCGACGAAGCAGCCTACGATATCAGGTTATCAGCCGGGGTTATCAAAAAAATGTGTAGTTCACTTATACTATGCATATATCTTCTTCATGAAAAATATTTTTGCAATAGCTATTCGACGATTTTACAAAAACCCTCATAGTGGAAACATAGAAAATCTATTGATTAGTTTTTTTAACTCCAGTAATATTCATTACTACACCAAAGGTTCCAAACAGTGCATCACAAGCTATTCGACATTGAAACTTTGTTTCAAAAATACCCCTTTCTGAATTCCAACAAAATTCACTCTTGAAAACAATATCGTAGTACAAACCTACTATTTCACTAGTTTGGACTTCCATTGTCTAATATGATTTGAAATCTGTGGGGGAAACAAATGAAATCAATAAATTAAAATGATCAGCTGGAACTAACAATTATATTGAGCAGTAAAAAGTGAAATGAAATCACGATTACAATAAAATAAAAATTATCAAAAAAAAAATAAAGAATAATGATCTGCAGCTTTTTATGCTTGACATTTCAACTCCTACTGTGGTAGAAAGTATCAAAGCCGATAAGGCAATGAACGAAGAGCTTGCTTGTACTCACAGCGGATACTACAAAACGTATCCAGCAGACATCATCAGTGCGAAGATAAAGCTATTATGATGGTCTTATCTAGAAGTTTCATCTACGACCGAATTCAATCAAATTTGTATCTCTCGAGGTTTTCGATTTTCCTCACTATCCTCGTCTTGAACAGACAGTATAAGTTAAAACATATTTGAATGTAAACCACAAAAAAACGAATTACTGAATAAAAACAAGCAACGTACTTTTTGTGAATAAATCCTAATGAATAGGAACGTTAACTATAGTGAAATAAAATTATTTTGCGCGGAACAATAATATCATAAATAAATAGTATCAAAAATAATTCATATATTTTGAACCCTGTTTAATTCCCTGACAGTAAAAATTGAGAAATGAATATAAATTACCATATCTCGAAGATTCAACTTTGGTTGTTCATTCCTAAGATGTCTTTATAGAAACTAAACGGCTTTTTTGGTAACTTGTGTTATTTTTTCATTTCGATATGAAAACTTCATTATTAGGCTTTATTATTTTTGAATTCATTCAAAGCTTCCGAAGTAATATCGCATTGTTTCAAAAGGTTTGTCCGTTTCAATGAGTCATCTTCAAACTTTAATAATTCAGTGAATACTACTTCAGTCCATTCGAAATGATCTCCATTTGAATCAGTACACATTGGTCAACGTAGTCAATTAATTCCGTAGGCATGAAAATTGTTGTGCTCGGGATTCGATGGAGTCGACAAAGACCGTTTTTCCCTAGTCTTGATAAGCGAAAATTTTAACACTGACAAAGCTTTCGGAGTATTCGAAAAGATGGTGGTCGGTTGACGAGAGGTCTGAGGAGTATGGTGGGTAGAACAGAGCTTCGACACTCAACTCGTTGAATATCCTCACGATGAATTGGAACACCTCAGGAAGACAGCGAGAAGACTCGAAGAGGACTGGGGTATATATCAAGCCAACCTCAGAGAATTCAAAAAAGTCTGCAGACGAAAGCAAAGAGAAGCCACCATAAGAGTATCGGCATCTTGACGAGGGAAAATGGCGACACAGCCGCCAACCTCCAGGAGAGTGCTGAGATTCTTATGGAAACTCAATTCCCAGGTTCTGTCTTTCCTGGAACGGCGAACTGGACGGATGTACAAACAACACCCTCACAATACGACTGGCTATCTGCTAGTGCAGTAATTGATGAGGACAAAATAAGATGAGCTATATTGGGCTTTTCCCCCTTCAAGTCACCAGGACCTGACGGTATAAGACCAGCAGTACCTCAGTGAGGACTGGCCACTCTTATGCCGCACCTGGTTGGAATATTCAGAACCTCTCTAGCTCTGAGGTATATTCCCAGTAAGTGGAGAGAAGTAAGAGTAGTATTCTTTACCAAAAGCATTCCGACCAATTAGTCTCACATCATTTTTCTTAAAAACCATGGAGAGGCTATGTGAGCGGTACATAAGAGATGAAGTACTAGTTCACAACCCACTTCATCCAAATCAGCATGCATATACTCCGGGAAGATCTACTGATTCTGCCCTTCACCATGTGGTTGGCAGCATCGAGAGATCATTGGACAATAAAGAATCCACCCTGGGTATATCCATAGATATCGAGGAAGCATTTGATAGAACAACCTTTCCAACAAATACCCAGAAACTACCCTCCAGGAATGTACCCCTGGTAGTAGGAGAATAGATATTCGAGATGCTCTCTAGTAGAGCAATAAGTATTAATGTAGAAGACATCACAGTTGAAGGACTGGTCATGAGGGGATGTCCACAGGGAGGGGTCTTATCACCCCTTCTCTGGAACATAGTTCCGGATACCCTGATTAATCACCTTAACAAAAATGGATTCGGCACAATTGCATACGCAGATGACATAGTTATCTTGCAGACCGGCAAATTTGTAAACACACTGTGCGATAGAACGCAGGATGGACTCAAATTGATATAAACATGGTGAAAGGAACACTCACTGTCGATCAATCCCAAGAAGACTGAGATGGTCCTTTTCACCGGAAAAAGAAATTTAACGGGCTTAAAACCTCCCGAAATCTTCAAAGGCAAACCAAACTTCTCTGAAGAGGTAAAATACCTTGGTACTATCCTCGACAGGAAGCTAACATGGAACTCTTATCTACAGAGTAGAGCAAAAAGAGCATACGTGGCTTATGAGCAATATCGGAGGACAGTGGGAAGCGCATGGGTTCTTTCACCCCGTGTGGTCATCTGGATCTACACTGCAATAATAAGATCTATGTTAACGTATGGAGCCATTGCTTGGGGACCGAAAGTTCTACAAGCAACAGTCATCCAAAAATTATATCAAATACAGCGGATGGCTTGATTAAACATCACAGGAGCTATGAGAACAACACCAACCGCGACATTGGAATTAATCACGGGTCTGACCCCTCTTGATATGTACGTTAATGAGGTTGCGTTGATGACCATAGTAGGATTGCGCACGGCTGGTGTGAACCTCAAAGTAGGAATGGGTCAATTGAGGCTGGGCCTGTGGCGGGAAGCGCTTACTGCGCAACCTCTGCTGCAGGCAACAAGCGATGCAATTGAACCCAGGTTTGTGTTTATTAAACCCTACAAAATACAAATAAAGCAGAACATAGAGTCAGATGATACAAATGCAATAAGGATTTACACAGACGGCTCGAAAACCAAAGAAGGCTCAGGATGTGGAGTGTACTCCAGATCACAAAGCCTAAGAATTGAGTGGGGAATGGGAAGAAATACCAGCGTGGTCCAAACAGAACTGGCTGGTATCTTAATCGCCACAAAAGGATTAACCAAGAAAGGAATTTCTGGCAAAAACATAACAATCTGCACTGACAGCAGACAAGTCCTATTAGCCTTGAACAGACAACGTATAACCTCAGGGCTAGTAGTAGAGTGTCACCAAGATTTGGCCAAAGCCTCGGTAGATTATAACATTATCCTGAGGTGGGTTAAAGGGCACGACAGAAGTAAAGGTAATCGCATTGCTGACTTTTAAGCCAAGGAAGCGGCTGGACTAAGAATTTTAGGACCCAGTGGCACCTACGGCCTGATGACTTCGACAATTGCGGAACTAGTCAAGTGTTACACCCATGCTCAATCCTTAAAGAAATATTTGACAATAACCAGGAAAAATGTACGCCTAACAGTAGGATTTCTGACTGGTCACTGTCAACTAAGGAAACATCTCCATAATATGGGGCTGGTGGACACACCTCTATGCAGGATGTGTGAACAGGAAGATGAGACTGTCAGGCATGTCCTGTGTGAGTGCCCGGAGTTATCGTCAATAAGAGAGTGTGTGTTCGGCGAGTCTTGGCCTACACCTGCCTATATGAAGGATATGTCTCCCAGTAACCTGTCCACCTTCCTGGAAAGGACAGGATGGACAATGACCTAGGAGGAAAACTCCTCGGGGAGTACTGTGGGCTTACACTCACCCTCCCTACTCTACAGATACAGATACAGAGATCCTCACGATGATTTCTGAAACGTGCAGACGAGCGTTGTCATAGAGCAGGATCGAATTTCCACCGTTGACGAGTGCCGGCTGCTGCTGACGCAATTTTCGGGACAATTCGTCAATTTCCTCACAACAGAACTCTGCTGCGATGGTTTGGCCTGGTTGCAGAAAGTAATAGTGAATCACACCAGCCCCTGACCACCATACAGCAACCATGGTCTATTTTTGTTGAGTTTTCGACTTTGAGTAGAGCCTGGGTGGCTCAACGGTGTCATCACACGTGACTATCCGATCCAAATGAAGGGCGTTTTGGTTGCCCAAAAGCAAAGAAGAACAAACTATCGCTCGTTCATATCATGGGGGACCCACTTCTTGAGCTTTTTCACCTTTCCAATACATTTCAAACCATCAAAAACCGCATGGGAGCTGAAGCCCAGTTCTCCCGCTATCCCACGCTATTTCATTAGGTTCCTCCAATCCTCGTCCTGGATTACTGTAGGTCAACCACTTCGGGATTTATGTTCGAAGCTGAAATCTCCAAAAAGAAATTTCATAAAAAAACGTCAAATAGTGCGTTCAATAACTCTATAATTAGCAAGTGCCTGGTTAATTTTTTGTGTTGTTTTGATAGCTCTCAGGTTCACTTGTAATTCGTAGAAAAAAGTGGTTGAAAATCGCTCAACGACAACATATAGTAATGAGCTGAGAAGAGGCAAAAAATTAAAATTCGAAAAAAAGAACAGTATACAGGGTGTTTCAAATTCGATCCTCACCATTGGGATCTTGAAAACTATGAGAAATACGAAGATGGTTAAATTGGGGCAAAGTTGCGCATTTACCCGACTACCAATATGCCGTTGAGGAAGTTCTGAAATTCCGAGTATATCCGGAGATATCCGGAAAAAACAGACATTTTGGAAAATGGTTTTCATTTTTTTCTGGCTTCATTTCTCGAAGGATTCGAAAATAAATTGCACTTCCACGTTGTCACTTTTTCCCTGCTACATAATGGTGTTTCCAGATTTGCTATCCAATGTTTCGTCTTCCGGCCACAATCATCAACTTTATTTTTTTTTAATGGCGCTACATTGGATTCTTTCAGTTTTGTATGGAACCATATTTTACCTTTTCAATGATGTATCATAAGTCATCATTCTTTTTAGAAAATTATTCTTATCATAATTCTCTTTGACTTTTATGTTTCTAACCTTGACTTTCGATTTTTTACACTCAATAACATTATGTTATTGTACAGAGTCAATGATCAAAATTTGGTAAATGAGGTGTGTATGAGGTAAATTAGACATTGTGTCCTTCTCAATGAAAATAAAACCCTGAACAAATAGCAATAATTAACCAAAATGTGGAGACAAAAGTAAATCACAGCAAATGCTCAAAATGCTGGCCTTGTTCATGATAACACAACTCTGTCCTTCTTGGAATATTATTCACTGCATGATTAATTTCCCTTCTCCTTAATCTTCTGAACTCTCTGACAGTGCTGTGTTGTAGATCCTCAATATTTCAATATTTTCTCTCATCATTGACTCTATTTTCCAATTACCCCATAAAAATGTATCCATAACACTTAATTTTGGAGACCGTGCTGGCCACCTCACCGGCTCATTATTTTCTATCCATTTATCACCAAACCTTCCAGTCAGGTAATTAGATACTAGTCTGTTAGTGTACGGTGGAGCACCATCATGTTGAAACTAGATGTTGTTATAGTTAGCCGAAGGTAGATCATCCAAATAGATAGGTTTCACCATTCAAAATTCCGTAAAAAAAATGAGGACCCAAAATTCAATTTATGTAGATTCCTGCCCATACGTTAATACTAAATCGCACTTGGGGTCGAATTTCTGAACTGCCTGAGGTTGTTTATACTCCGAATGTGTTCGTTATTTCGGTTGAATATCCCACAATTCGTAAAAGTGCTTTCATCTCTCCAAATTACCATTTTCCAGGAAAACAGAAAAATCAGGTCTTCTTATTAGCCAATTACAAAATTCTAATCGCCTTTCGGGATTACATGGATGCACTTTTTTAGATATGTGTATTTTGTTACATTTTAATCTGCTTTTTTTGGGATGTCTCTAATCACTTGTATGAAAAATTTCCATTTCTGAGGAAATTTGCCGTGTAGATTTCCCCATGTTTATCTGCAAATTATTAATTTTTATTGAAAAGGACACAGTGTCTAACTTACCACATACATACCTCATTTATCAAATTTTCTTCAGTTTCCTGGTCCATTCTGTCTTCGTATTTTTTCGACTTTCCAAATGAACTAAACTTGGTGAAATTTTTATTCGATAACTTGAACATAGTTCGATGTGATTTGCCTTTCGGGATTCAAGTTTAAAAACATTTCTGATGTCCTAACACTGTTTCTGTCGTATTTTGTAATAAATTAGTATCATATATCATTTTTCTTTATTCGCCAAAAATTCGTACAATAACAAAATGTCATTGAATGTAACAAATTGAAAGTCAAATTCATAAACATCAAAGTGAAAGCCTATTGTGATAAGAATTATTTTTTCAATATCTCCAATTTTTCGAAAAAGAATAATAACTTATGATACATCATTGAAAAGGTAAAATCTGTTTATATTCAAAACAAAAAGAATGCAATGTAGCGCCCATGAGAAAAAATAAAGTTGATGATGGTGGCCTGAAGACGAAACGTTGGCTAGCAAAATCTGAATACACCGTTATGTAGTAGGAAAAAAGTGGCAACATGGAAGTGTAATTTATTTTCCAAAATTTCTGTTTTTTCCGAATATTTCCGGATATACTCGAAATTTCAAAACTCTCTCAACGGCATATTATTAGTCAGGTAGATGCACAACTTTGCCCCAATTCAATCATCTTCGTATCTCTCATAGTTTCCGACATCCCAATGGTGAGGATTGAATTTGAAACACCCTTATAGAGTTCAAAATTCTCTATCTTCTCAGTAGAATACATATTTGTTGAAATTTGGAGCTACAAAACATAAATCCAACATAAATTCGTGGCGGTATATAATCCGAACAACCTTATTAGAAATCGTTCAAATTCAAGTAAATTCGAGTATTTTCAGTTTTGATATTCGTAATATCAATGATACTGTTGTGAGCAAAATGTCTAATTTTTCTATAAAGTTCAGTTTTTCTTTGAAATCATTCTTGTCATCACTTGAAATATTCATTGAACAGTATTGCATGTTATATTATTTCTAGCGAACCAAGGACCCGAATCCATCAAAGAGGTTAGTTGATAGTTTCAAACGAACCTTTCATTTCTAGGTCCATACCAAGAGCAAACGTCATCCAGGGGAGTTCCGATGCAGAGTTTTAATAAAAGTGATCGTCGTTCCTCAGGTAAATTTCATTCTATTCGAACAAGCAATGCGAATGATTGCTTTATTTTGGGCTTTTCCAATTTTTTTGTCCAAATTGGGAAGTGAGTAGGTATTTATTTTTACAAAAACTATGTTCCATTTGTGTTACCCCAACCCAAAATATAATTTTGATAACACTATAAAATGAATGGAAACAAAAATTGGAGCTTAGTTTTGTGATTATCTGAAGAATAGAAAACAATACTTTTTATAGCTGGTGGTAGACGATTTCTTTCATAGTAGCACAAGGTTGGCTTCTTAGGTATTCTGTCTTGAATACCTCATCAAAATCAATTATGTTCCTAACTTTAGTATGAGAAATAGTAACCAATCATAGTAATTCAATTTCCTTCCTAATTTGTGAAATTTTATTTTCAGGTCAACAAAAGGCATTCATGCCGTCTTCCTTCCAACCTCCGTATACCAGTAGCTTATCTGAGTAAGTACAATAGCATTCGACAATGTAATACCTAATCTGATTTTAATTTTTCATGTCATACCAGTTCATTATTGTGATTTTTTTGCTCAGTTACCTACTACGTAATTGTGAACTCTGTGCCCCCACAGACATTAAGGTAAAAAGGGGTTTTTGAACAACTTTACTTTTCAATGATGAAGTTGGAATTGAAAGGGGTATAGTTTTTGCGATAATAGAAAATCGCCGAACATTATCAATAATAATAATAGCTTTCATTATGCAACAGTTGAAAACCCTTTACAGGGTTAACTAAGTACGTTTAAAAAGTATTATAGGTTCTTATAGCTACAAAGTTAAGTTTTGAGAAAATGAATAACAAAAATATTTTAATAATTTTAGGTTTTTCCGGGTTTTCCTGCAGCTGAAAAAGCAAATGCGCCACTGGAATCAATGAAGTCGCCCCGGAGCGCCAATTAATTTCTATTGTTGTTTTTATTTTATTTTTATCGTTGTTTCAATAAAATTTTAAAATACAAATTATGAAATTATAAGATAACAACAAGAATTGATTGGCGCTCCGAGGTGACTTCATTGATTCCAGTGGCGCATTTGCTTTTTCAGCTACAGAAAAACTCGGAAAAACCTGCAGCACCACATCATCTGAAGATCTTAACCTGCCAATATCCTCTCTCTTATAAAAACAAAATTTAGGGTGACTCCAGAGGCTCCACTCAATTCAATGCATCGCCAGAACACTTAGTGACACGACTAGCGTCAAACTTAAACGTTTCTTCTGTCACCAAGACGTAATAATGACCAGATTCAACGCCAGAACCACAGTGAACAATGACTACATCAAGATTATAATAGTGGTCTGCTAGATTGAAGTGTTCATTTATTTCGAACCTTCGTAAGAGTTTGGTGCTTCCGTCAGAGGTTAAGTCATGTTTGAAGATCATCCGTGTTATTATTAGATTGACTAGTGTCTCAGCTATACTTGTTTTCTTATAACAGTCAGTTACTTTGGCGCATGTTTGGCAATACAGTCGATCATCACCTGTTGAAAGTTTCATTTTCAGATGATTTAACAAAAAATATGATATAATAAAATAAAATAAAAAGCTATTCCGGAAAATTTAAAATTCTTCATGAAAAACTGAGATGCAGTTTCATCAATATATTCTAGGAAATCAAAATTGATATCACACAAATTTGAAATGGAATTGAAATTATTGCAAATGCTACAAATAGGTGCCTTGAGGTACAAATTGGTTCTGGTCAGTCGGCTGTAAAAAGTTCTATACTTCTAGTTCTAAAATAAGGCACACAGAACATATCCATAGCATCCACATTGTTATGCAGTAATTTATATAAAAAGCTTATTCCAGCAAGTTTTCTGCATAATTCAAGACTTTCAATATTGAATGGTATAGAAAGAGATTCATATGGAATACCTCTGTCAGGATAGATATCATGATATTTGAAGTCAATAAACTTTAGGAAACGGCGTTGATGTATTATAGCAATTTTGGAATGAATACCATAGAACAGAGCCATATTCTGATTTTTTCCTTACTTAGGCTACATGAAGAGTAATTAGAGCAGATATGCTTGAAAAATTTCTACAATTGCGAACTATAAAACCATAAACTCACAATGCTTCGATTATTCTCGATCTTCAGTGACAGTGACAGTGACAGTGACAGTGACAGTGACAGTGACAGTGACAGTGACAGTGACAGTGACAGTGACAGTGACAGTGACAGTGACAGTGACAGTGACAGTGACAGTGACATTGACAGTGACAGTAATATTGACAGTGACAGTGACAGTAACATTGATAGTGACAGTGACAATGACAGTGAAATAATATATATTCGATAATTGTACTCGATGACTGACATTTTTCTACTATTACTATTCCACATTTGGATGCATAAATGTGTTAATTTCACACCAAATCTGTATATTTTCCAACTGTCATTGCATTGTATCACAAGTCGATAAATGCTTTAGAAAATCAGTATATATTCCGAATATCAGATGGATCTTCAAACTTGAAAATGGGATATTAGAAGAGAGACAAATCTCCAACGACATAATTGTGTCAAGACATATTGGTGTCCATTTAAACACCCAACAAAACATATCGAAGCAGGAAATGGAATTGTCTGGCCTAACATTATCATATACGATTCGGATATATTCATCTTTTTGGAGAAAACCGATGCCTGGATTTTTGTGGCATTAAAGTGAACCGGATTACGTCCACCTCAATTCGAAATTACCCCTAGATTCTTATTATTATATGCAACCTCCTGCTGCCGGTAAAGATGTGCATCTGCAGCTGATGTTCTGAAATGACGAGATAACTGTGCTGTCGCCAACAAAGCATAAACTATTGAGAATATCTCCCAACAAATCAATTAGAAATACGGTGTTAGCAACTTTTTCAATAAACACATGGAAAATTCTCATTTTTTACATTCCTGAATGCATTCGGAAATCATTAAGTTATTTTTTTTCTCTTAGGTTTCCTCAAGCAGATCAATCTCAGTTATATGGAGCTCCAAAAGGTGAGTAACCATCAGGAATACTACAGTATTCCATTCCATTATTATTTATCATGAACTAGCTTGTGTTTCAGTTAAATGGTGAAACTTCAATAACAAGCTTGATCATTTGGGGGGACAGTGAAAATCCGTTTTCAGATTGCAACTGTCAATGATATATTTTGTTGGTTGAATCTCTAACATCCATTTAAAATAATATGAAAGTGAGGCAGGAAAACTTTTTGTAATGTTTCATGTTTGTTATGATATGTTACGAAGAAATTTTCCATACGACGTTTTGTTCATTGGATTCCATCATCAACATTTTTTTCAGTACGAAAAGTTGGTTTTCCTATCAATTTTAATAGTCACCATCATAACAAGTTCAGGCTTGTATCACAATACGTGTATATCCCGACGTTCCTTCTGAGAAACAACACAGAGTCAGAACCATCCAATTCTGTGTCAGAGATACCTCAAACAAGAAGAGACCAGTATTTTCCGTACTGTGAACTCGAAGATTTACATTAACTCCAAATGTCTTGACAATTTGGAGAGAGACGTGAATACCCACACACTTATTAATGTTTCTGTAAAACTATACAAATGTTCAAAAATCCAGATAGTTCTTGACGTTCTTTATTTGACGACTGAATTGCTTCATTTCATGGCTTACTGTCTCAGCATTTCAATTTGCCGAAAAACATCTGAAATAAGCATTCATAATCCACAAAAATTAGTTTTTGAAAAATACTTGCATTTTATAACAGAAACTTGGAGAAATACCTGAACACTTTCAAGACATTCAAATTGTGGTTGGAAAAATATTGGTCTCTACTTCTCTATCTGTATCTGTAGAGTAGGGAGAGTGAGTATAGGCCCACAGCACTTAGGACACATGTGACCCATTTTACATCCTCCCAAGGAGTTGTCCTCCTAGGTGATCGTCCATCCTGTTCTTTCCAGGAAGGTGGACAGGTCACTAGGAGACATCTCCTTTATATCAGCAGATATAGACCAAGACTCGCCAAACACACACTCTCTTTGTCAACCTTGAGGTGTCTCACGGCGGCCTCCGTGAAGGTTTTGGAAGATTCATTTCGGTCATTGCGCGGCTTCTTCAACCTTCTGAGGGTTCCCTACGTGGCAGCCGGTTCCTTGCCTTTATTCGAGGCGGAGCTCTTGGCGCCCGCCGCAGGAAGTGCCCATGCTGTTGGAGATGGAGTGGAGGAGAAGGGGGTGCACTTATATTTACTGCCACTCCTGCTTCTTTCGCTCTCTTTCTCCTTTTAGCCCCGGCGCCGCAATTCCGCTTACGCCTTGGCCTTTGTATTGCTGCACGAGGTGATCTGCTATGTCCAGCCTCATTCCGAGCGGTAGATTAGGGTGGACATTGATGTTCATCCCCAGCCACCACCTTAGATTGAGATGAGCACTTCTGTCCAGTCTCGGGATCGGTTTTTGTTTTTGTGGTGTTTGTTTTTATGTTTGTTTCATTCATGTGTGTCCCCACAAGTATCAAGGGAAGAGTTGGTCACTTTTGGCATAGCCCCGCATTACCAGAGGTGAGCTGATTACATTCAGCTGTCGGCACGATTCCTTACACTTTAGCTTGGGTAGCCTGGTCCACGGCGGTATGTTTCGCGAAGGCTTTTGGGGAGTTTTGATTCCTCTCACCCTACTTATTTCTGCCACTGACCAGGACCGCCAGTCCTCTGGCCGTTCTCCTATCGGCCAGCTGGGGACGCGCACGATAGGTAGTCCCACCCACGGGTGATCTCTACTTTTTTGAGACATGTCGTATGATGTGACTCTGATGTTTCATCGAAGAGAATTTTTTTTGATACGTGGTATGGTGACGTTGGTATCCAATGGTCGAAAGATCGGATTGAATCACCACAAAAAGCCAACGTTTCGACAACATCTCAGTTGATATTCGGATGTCTTAAGATGTTTTCCTACGTCGTCTATTTCTTAGGCGACAAGTTTCCTGATTGGCCAATCCTGTTACCTCAACAGTAGGATGACTTCTCCTCTCTTCTTCACCTCTCTTCGGACTCGATACTTCAAGAGGTATCTGAAGAGAAATTTCGTCTTTTGGCCTCGGTAAAAATTAGTTAAAATGAGAATATTGTTGTTTTAATTTTGTAAACTGTATGCATAATTTTTTCTCTCGATACTTTTCCTTTGTCTGACCCCATGGAAAAAAAAACTTAACAACATCGTGAGATTCCTGAACTCTTTATACCCTCGCATTCAATTCACTATCAAAATGAAAGAAAACAGAAAACTGCCCTTCCTCAATTTACTCATCAAAAGGAACCCCATACACTGAAACCCTAAATTCAATATGTTTTCTTCATCATGTGGGACCTAAAGAAGCAGTTCTACAAGAAATATAAAGTACACTTTCGATGATTTTTGATTAGATCATGTAATGCCGTTGTAGCTTCAGAAAATATTTTTCACCGAGTTACTCGTCTTCATACTGGCTGCAATACTTTTCCAGATACCAACCCAGTTGTCGTTATTAGAAAATTTACTGTTCTGTTCATATCCGAATGATACTACCGTTTGGCCAATGAGAATTCGTGAAAGGTGTTGCAGTTCTGGTCTGAAAGCAGTATTTGTATTAGATTCGTCCTACGTGAGAGGTTCTAGTTCTACCTGTAAATGGCCGACTATCAAATACTTCTTTCATACATTAACAGGACTTTTATAGAAAATTAACAAGTATCTTCAAAGCAGTTCCATTTGACTCACTATTATTTCAACAGATTTTTCTCAAATGAGACCAATAGAAGTGGAGTGTGTGTATAAAAAACTCAAAAAGAAGCAGACATCACCAAGTACCAATCAATCTCAGTACTCACACAGAGGCTCCTCACAACTCAATGACAGTGGTCGTACTATGGCAAGTCAACAACCGTTCAGATCCATCCAAGTCGTGCAACAAAGAGCAGGTAAGTCTATTGTGTAGTGAATTCAGGGCCCCCATATTACGTATAGGACTAACATTGGACAGGCGAGAGTGGTTGGGCGGCGTAAAATTCCCCACTTCCCAACCGATTTTCACTTGCCAACGGAATGAGGAATCATAATCAGTGAATTCATAATAAATAGGAACACCTCTCGTTCCTTGTAGATTTACATTCACACTTTTTTGTAGTTTCTTCCTTTTGAAAGTGTGTAAATCGATGAGAAGAAGAATTAATTCTTGATTTGCAAGTCTAGGTTTCCATTTTGAGCATCTGCTTTTATTTTTATTGATGTTTCGGAAAAAAATAATGCATTGCCGTGATTCTTCAAAGTATATTTTTGCATAAACTTAAAATATCCGAAAGATAGTCATAGAGATTTACTTCACCTAACCTTTTAACTTTCATGTAATTACCGTCGACTCGAAAAAATTTTGTGGTGTACAATAAATAATTTTCACCATAAATATAAATTGGTAACACATATTTATGTGGCAAAAAGTAACATTCATAGAAAATTATAATGAACATTACATGGAATACAATAGAGATAGATATAAACATCACAAAACCGGCACATGAAATTATATGTTCTTTGACCACCACAAAACTACAGAATATGTCATAAAAGGACACAGAACAGAAACAATGACCTTTTTTGATAGACGGCAATTTTGAAGATGATTATTATCAAATAAAAAAGTTTATGGAGTTGTTAATGGACATGAACATGATGAAATAAAGATTGTTTGAATAAAATATTGGCCTAACAACCTATCGAGATGAAATTGTTGTAATTGCTCAATCGAAATCAAATTATATATAAGATACGTTTCAAATAATTTAAGTTTAGCGCGAAAAGTGACATTCATCACCACCAACACAAAATATAAGCCACAGAAACTTGTCCCTCGAAATCAAAGTGATGGCAAATGGAAGTATCTTTCCTGAAGTATTCATCTATGATTCTGTCGTGACAGAACCAAGATAAAATACTGTGATGAAAATTTATATTTCCACCGAAAAATTATAAAATTGAAGAGCAGGAATGTCTTCAGAAGATAACAAAATGAAGAAAAAAGTAATTCAGCAACATGATTGGCCGATAAGTAACATTTTGTTACTGAAGTAACATTAGAATAACAATGCTAAGAACGCATATGCTAGTAAATCTCAAGGTCTCTTCATTTTTGTATGACAGTTTTCCACACTCCACGTTGAAACATATACTTGGTGTCAAAAATTTCACATCATCACTGTTCAAATTTAGATGTTTCAAAAAATAGTTTTCATGAAGAAAATCAACTTTGAGTTTACATTCATTTTTAAATACTTATCGAACTGGTTGAAACGTTCGATCTTTCACAACCTAACAATCAGATTGAATCAATGAAATCAAATTGAATAATAATGACTCAAGGCATATTTCTTTTGTAGTTACTGTTTGTAAACCTCCTAGAGCTCTTGAAGACGTCCTGATGTTTGATGATCCGTCCGGCTACGAAGACCAATGTGAAAACTACAACTGTCATAACGATATTTGTGAGAATCAGTAAAGTTATTTTATACCTAATAAAATGTAATTGTCTTCTTGGATCCATTTTTTTATTATCGATGATATGTGAATGATGAGAAATGTTTTGCTATTTCGGAATAAATTACATAATTTTTTATATAGCTGCCTTTTCATGAGTAAGAGAGTTCTTACTACACCTGCGCAAACTCACATCGAGAGTTAACGCAGGTGCCACATAAATTTTACTGCTCATGAAAAGGTTTAAAGCCGTGGATCTCAACTGCAGCAAAGTATGTCATTTCCCATTTATTGTTATATATTTTATTGAATATTCAATGAGTTTTCGGACCAAACTGAAATTTGGTGGAAGCTTAAAAAAATTAAATGTCTGAAGAAATTAATTTCTTCGGTACTGGTCGTTTTTAAATTTCAGTAGAATATCAAATAGAAATGATTTAAAAAAAAAATGAAAAAATGCTCTGCTACTGACAAAAACATAATTTGTGATGGACCACAACATATTTTTCTGTTTTTGCAGACTAGACTAGGCAATTTTTCGATATTTATAAGTCATTCAAAAAAAGGTTCACAGTTTGGTACAATAATTTCCAACTAGGAACTGTTTGTACTTATGAATTTATGAAAAAATATGTGAACCTAATAACTGACTTCTGAGTTACTGAATAGCAGTTGCTGCTAGAACCGTAATATCTGTCAAATTTTACAGCTTTTATAGTTGCTACTCATGCAAATATGACTCAACTGCTTTGTGGAAACCATGGATATAGATTCTAGACAGGGCTCGAACAAACCTTGGATTTTTAGACGCATTTGATCACTCAATGGGTTTTTCAACAGAAAATGTTTAATTCTTGTTCTGTGTCACATATCACGTAGGTACTTTTTGTGGCACAGAAGAGTCAGTGATTCGATATATTCATTGAAACTATTTGATTCTCTGAATCCGACTTGTCCATTTGAAAACGATAACACTCTTTTCTTACAAAATGGTGGAGATATCCGACTCCACGTGACATTCTAATGAAAGTTCTTGATTATTTCATCCCGTGTATCAAGTAAACCAAAATAAATATTCAGAGAATAAGATAAAGGTACCAAAAAAGTAGGGAATATCCAAAGTATACGTCTACGGTAATGGATAATGTTCATCACTCTTGAATACCAAGTTATTCATTTTATGTGAGAATAAAAATTTCAAAACAATTTTACCGATTTCATTTTCACGATCAAGTTAATTATATGTGTGAGACTTTAATTGTTCCAATATTTTTTTTCAATCACAAAGGATTCTGTTAAACAAATCATACGTTCAAAGTCATAAAATGAGATTTCGACAATTTAACTAAAAAAAAGCACTCCAAATCATACGACAGAGGAAGCTATCTGAAGACGGGGACCTGGAAAAGAGAGCGAACTTACCTATAGAAGTGATCATGGAATGATATGTACGAAACTGTTATTTCCAACTGAAGGACGTATTTTTTACACAAGATGAGGGACTGCCGATGGGATCGCCACTTTCACCAGTTATGGTCAACATATAAATGGAGTGGTTTGAAACTCTGGCCATTGAAGAAGCCCACAAAAACCCCGAGTCTGGTTGAGATACATTGACCACACCTTTATAATATGGAACCATGGGAATACTGAACTAGACGCCTTCCTAAAACACATCAACAGCGTGAGACCTTTCATCGTTTTCACAGTGGAGAAGGAAGTCCACAACAAATTGCCATCCTCAGACGTATTGGTAAAGAGGACCGACACTTCTGTGGGAAATATCTGTTTACCGAAAACCCACTCATACGGGACAATATCTGAACCACGAATCCAACCACCATCAATCAACTAAAAGAGGAATCATCAAGACTCTATTAAACCGTGCCTTCGGGCTCTGTAATACAAAGGAAGGTCTCGAGAAGGAACTGGACATCAAAAATGATCTTCAACGAAATGGCTACTTCAAAGCAATGGTGGAACAGACTTTGTCTAAAAGACAGAAAAATCCTCGCAAAGAATAAGAGAAGCCGTCACAACGAGTACTTGTACTTCCCTACATCAGATGATTATCGAAAAGAATAAGAAGAATTTGGTTCAAGTACGCCATCAGAACCTGCTTGAGATCCAGAATCACTATCCGTAGCAGCCTCACGAAAACCAGGCCACCAAACGCGAACTGCGATTCCAATAATTGCATTTACCGCCGGATACCATGTGAGTGCGGAAAATCCTATATCGGAGAAACTAAGAGGCCATTGAAAGTTCGCATTGCCAAGCACAAACACACAGCTAGGGGAAACCAGAAAATCAAGAATAGCAGAGTATGCTCGGACCCATCAACATCGAGTGGTCCCAAGCTGAGATCATACAAAGGGAGGAACACTGGTTTAGGAGAAAATTCAAAGAAACCTTATACATCTTGTCCAACAATGTTATCAGCCAAGCTAGCCTATAGATACGCAACATATGAAAACCGGTTTTCAAATTAGCACATCCGCATTGTATATTCAGGTACTCAATCAAGCCAAGTACCTCTATTATCACCTACAGGGGTGCTATATAAGGGCTAGTGTTATAAACCATTGTTAGTTTAATATGTATAAGGTTGTTTCAAAAGTTTGTCCATTTCAATGTCATATGTTCAAATCACAAATCACCAAACAAAAATCAAACAAATTGAGAGTCAAAGTTCTGACTCATCCATCTTACTCCCCAGATCTTTCGCCAACCGACTATCATCTTTTCAACCACTTCGATAACTTTCTCACCGGTAGAACCTTCGCCAATCAAGACGAGGCACAAACGGCCTTCGTTGACTTCATCGAATCCCAAGTAAATGATTTCAATGCTGACGGAATTGATCGAACTGTGTTACGTTTGCAAAAGATCACCGATTCAAATGACTATTTTGAATGAATTGAATAAGTATTCACTGAGATATTACAGTTTAAAGTAGACTCATTGAAAGCAACAAAACTTTTGAAACTACCTAATACATCTAGAAGTTAGTGATCTAAGTCTGAGATGACTTTAAAAAAAGATTTGATATTTTTTAAACGGCTTCACTTTCAAAATGCAGTCGTTCTCTCCTAATTACATATACCTGTTCTCTCACTCTATCCATTGCTGAAATATTAGCTTTGCTGAATTGACGACACTGGAATATTGAATTAGATATTTTATAACATGAATCAATGTAATAATTTTCTAATTCTTGGTATTCAATTCCGCTCATCACTTTCCTTTCTGATGTGAAAGATGTATAGCCGCACGTAAAACCGATTGCTGGCGTGACAATGTATGCCGTGGCGACAGATCGCCATACGCAAGCGACTGTGCGATTCTCTTCTTACTGTTTCTTCGTTACACTATCTCTCTTGTCTCATTGAGTACGAATACCTATAGTATATTCAATTGTGTTTACTACAGTATACATAACCTGTATTTCTGAATGAATAATTTTTAAAAATAATTGAAAATAAAATGTATCCGATAGTGATGATTAGGAAAGTGAAAGTGAGCAGCATCCTGCAAATGAAGCAAAATCGCCTTGCGGCGTACTATCACGTCATCTGTCACAGTTAGTTTATTATATTATTATATTTTATAATTGAATTGTGCATTTATCTGTGCATTTAGCCCATGTATATTTAGTATGTCTCAAGGGTCAAGGGTCAGTAAATATATAAAATTCTCTCCTGTTAGATTTAAATTTACACAATGTTCATGACATTTAATCTCAATTAATAATTTTAATTTCTTTCTTATTGAAAATACTGTAGTAAAACACTTGCTTGAAGAATAAATATCATGAAAACTGACAAAATTGTATTTCAAAATCAGCTGTCAGCGAGTAGCGCACCAATGTTTTTCTCATTTGTTATTGAAAGAAACATCCAAAAATGAATGAATTAATTGATATGATATCGATGATGGAGTTTATATACCTATAGGTACCTATTGACAGATTTATTATTGACATTTTTAATTTATGGTCCTTAGCAATATATTGTAACAACAAGCTAGTTTACTAGTTACTATTATATGAAAGTCATATTAACATTTTTTCATGTAGGTATATTTGAAATACATATTTTTTATAAATATTTCAGTACCCAACAATCATCACAGGGCTCACTAAATTTTTTTCACTACATTATTGGTGATAATGACAATTGGCAGCACTGATACATTATGTATTTATGGTTGTGTGTTGTGTATATAAATTAAAAATGAAATGTTTTATTTGAAAAGTTAAAAATGAATGTTGCATTTTGCAAGAAATCTTGGAAGATGTTCCGATTACTTTTGTCTTCAAGTCGTTTTTCACGAAGAAATATCCCTATTTCCAATGTATCTCAAAGAGGATATATCGTGCTGTAAGTATTTTGAGGTTATGTAAGTATCTCTTTGTGAATTTATATATTTCTCAGTATCCCAGAAATTGGAGAGGAGGCACCTGATAGTAATATTTTCATCTCGAGTGACGGCTTACCAGAGTTCAAAAATATTTTGATCGAAAATTGTATGGCAGCAATTGCAAAGCAGACCTTAGAGTTTGAGGAAGGAGTCAAAAAGTTAGATGAATCTCTGAATGCTAATCTATCTCAAGACATATTCAAAGAGATGTTCCAGCCCTTGGAACGTCTTACTGCTCCTTTAGATTTCACTTGGGGTCTGTCTAAAACTTTATACTTTGGCAACAATACTTTGATGCCCACTTCCAGCTACCTGGCAATTCATGAAAGGGCAAGAAAAGCGAGGGCTTCTAAGTATACTCAGAGTGGTATTTACAATGCTGTGAAGTTTGCTAAAGAAAATGGCAAAAAGTACAGTAGCGAAGAAGTTAGACTTTTACAAAAATTTGCCATTGAAGGTAAACTGAACGGTTTAGAACTTGATGCTCGAGGGAAAACTATCCTGACTGAGTATACCAATACTTTCAACAAACTTAAAGAAGAGTTTAGGCGTAAAACGGAAATATCCACCAAGATGTTTTCCCATATGGTGACGGACGGAACGATAACTCGGGACTTTCCTGTGGATTTACTGAAAGTGACGTCTACTGATCCCTGTTATCCTATGAAAGGACCTTGGAAACTGACACTACAGCCTCACGTCTACATGCCGGCCATGGAATATTGCTCTGATCGTCAGGTACTGTTGAGAATACTTCTGTTCGAATATCAGAAAAAAATATAGAGTTGCCCTCCCTATTTCATGCTCCAAACAACCATAATGTCTATCAACTCCACTCACAAGGTATTATCACATCAAACACAAGTAAATGCAAAACCAAGTCTAGTAAAATTATGTAAGAAATTCAAAATTTGAATGAATAAAACAGTATACAAAATAATGTAATAGATGTAAACATAAATACGAACAATATTATAATAGAATCAATCATATGTCTGAAAGAGTGATACAATCAAACTGAAAAGTTCACCCAAAAAATTTCTGCGTAATATAAACCAGTGAAAAGTTCAATTAGTCAGTAACTTGTGTGATAGAGGTTTGTGTGCTAATAAACTCGCTAGAATTGTGACTACTCAAAAAAAATAGAAGGGTATCTCTGTATTTTTTGGAGGTTTGAATGTTGCATTGTTTTTATGCTACTTCGAAACTGTTTGACTTGTTCATTTATTCCAAGTCTTCAGCCTCATTTCATAGGCTTATTACATTATTCCTCCTATTTTTTCATTAATTCTAACTGTCCTGTTCCCTTTATTAGTTTGTTAAGTGTCTCACCTAGTTTTCTTGAGTGTATTTGCAGGTGTATTCACCCAGTATTTTTTTTTTTGTTTTTCATCAACCCATTTTCTGATTTGGTTCCATACCGTAGATTTTAGTAGTGCCCACAATATTGAAAAAAATAATGTCACTAACTTTTTTGTAGTTTTCATTTTTTTTAGATTAAGCAAGTAAAATAACAACTTTTTCTTCATATCAAGTTTTGTTTTCCCGAAAAAAAATCACTTATAAAAACAATCATTGATTGTCTGACACTAAAATATCTAGAGTATTTCTTATGACGTTGCAATTGTCAATTATTCGATTACTCAAGTCATTCACATCTAGTACAGAAATTTTATAAACAAGAGCCTTCAGATGAACCCTCAAATAGAGATCTAGAGGATTCAGCCAGCTGGGAGCTGCAGCCAGTTGGGAGCTCTATATGGGTGTAGGAGGTCTATACAGTTTTTGGGTTGACTTCCAGCTGCAGTGCAATTTTCCTGGTACTATTTGAAGGATCTTCTATCGCATCAAGTATAGCTTCTAGTTCAGGCGTTGTTATAGTTTCTAGTCTTCCACTACCTGCATTTTTATTGAAACTCCCAGTTTCACATAATCTTGCATGTAGCGTTCTAAATGTTTAGCACATGGTATTACTCTGTTAAGATTTCTATCCTGCTAAATTCTCCATGCTTCCTCCGTATTTTCATTTGCCATTACATAAATGAAGTGCATGTCAGCCATTTCAGCGTTAGTAAATATAATGTCATAATGGAATCACTGCTAATTGACAACTATGACTTTCACTGATATGTCAACACTATCACTGTCAGCTGGTCTCTAAAGCAGGTATTCATGATATGCAAAGTGGCTTTAATTTTTTTGAAAATGAAGCTAGATATGAAGAAAACACAGGCGACGAAGAAGTTGTATTTTTGGTTGATTATTCTAAAAAAATGAAAAACTACAAGTCAGTGGTGTACTTTTTTTCCAATATTGTTGGCTGTGGTAGCCACTGAGACTCCACCGAACCTTATAATTTCAATCTAGTTAGGGCTAAATAAGCGCCTTATTACTTCAAATAACCGTAGCAAATTTCAACTATATCCCTATTTCCTGAATCCTAAATTTCAATTATATGCCCACATAGTAACGGCTAAATCCAACAATTTATGATAACTTATGTATAAGTTATCTGAGGGACCAGTTTGCAGTATATATCAATAAATCACTAGGTTTACTAGCTATTAATTTCATTCAACAGGGTACTTTTCTACATCTTTCATGATACATAATACATTATACTTCCCAAAAAGAATTAGTAGTTTAACAATTAAAGCAATTATTATTTAACTTACGATTGTCTACAATTCAAACAGGTTCTGAAAAAAAATTTCAATACGGATTTTATTTCACATTTTGACTTCTTTGTCATTTATCATTTTTTTCCACTATATAACATTTTCAACATACTGGATAATACTAAAATTCTTACTTTACATTTAACAAGTAATTTCAAAGATATATAATATACATTGTGTATGAGTCAAGTGAAATACATTCAATAATATATTATGGCAGAGTATTCGACAAAATGTCTGAAGACTGGTATTTTTATACATGTTATGTCATGTAATTTTTTATTCAAAATGTATATTTTTGAATTTTTGAATTTTTTCGAATGATCTAGACATACTTGCATGTCTTATAATCTGTCTCTCCACATTCAACAAAAATATTTTTTGAACACACATTTGCTGCAACACACTCAAAAACTATTAAGTAATGTTGTATTAATGTATAATATCAATAATAATAATAATACTTTATTTGCCCAAAGACTGTATAAAGTTGTATAGGCAACTGTTGACAATAAAATAGAGATACTGAAACTTAAATGAGGCGATAGTGAAAGAAGACAAGACATTAGAATTTTGAAAAAATTCTAGTACTTATATAATAACATCTTTCTAACAGATATGGTTTCAGTATTTGTTTGAAATTATTATACAGTTGCTTGCAGTCTTCACATACTCAGCAAGATTATTTTGAATTTTAGGACCAATGTAATCTGGCCCAGAATGAGTCACTTTTAATTTCGCAATTGGTACATGGAACTGGTTTTGGTTCTAGTATCTTGATGGTGAATATTCTTATTCATTGTGAAATAAGACATAATTGTAGAGTTTTTAATATCTCCAATTCTAGAGTCAATGCTATTTACATAGAGAATAAACAAGATAAGACCTAATGTGGAGTTCCTACGTTCAGAGTTAAATTTGAAAGTACTATTATTTTTCATCTGTTACAATGACAGAAACTGATCCTGTTTCTGGAGAAATTAATATATTCAACTGAGTTAAACACCCCTTATACCATAATATCCCAAATTTGAAGCCAGTTTTTCATAAGTGACAGTTGCACGGCTCAAATCACATAGGAGTACTGCCGGACAATCACCTGTATTCAATTCAGCAACGAAGAATTGGACGTAGCCTATACAACAAATAATAAACAAATAAAAATGAAACTTTAGTGATTGATAAATTGGAAATATACAAGTTGACTTGTGGTTCTTGTCCAACATTTTATATCAGACAAACTGGTGGAACCTTTTCCAAAAGAATAAAAGAACATATAAGTAGTTTTTTGAATGGGAACATATGCGAACCATCTTTTGATAGAGGGGCACAAGTTTAATTACGATTAGGTCATGTTGCATTTGGAAGACAAAGGCTCAAAAGTCAACCTTTTGGAATGTTTAGAAATCAATAGATTTAAAAATTCAGTATTATTGCTTAATGATCAAATAGCTTTGAATTGTTCTCCTTTGTTGAATTTAGTTTGCAATGAGGAAATTGGTAATTAGGATAGATCTTAAAAGTAGGTAAAATGATGGCCCAGGTAAAAATTCTTCAATTTTATGAGTTGTTCTTATGAAGGTACACAGGTTAGGCAATGAATCCATCATTTCGACCTTTGTCGGGTGGAATTAGTCATAGTGATTCAAATTACTGTAAAAGCATGACAAAGAATTTATTTAAACAATATTGTGACGTCTGAAGCGGCTTTTGTATAGCGAAACACTTGTCGGGTTTTGTAAACTTTCAAGTGTGTTTTACTAATATGTGGAAAATAAGTATCAAGTGTGTTTTAGTAACTTTATGTAATGTAATAAATTTCTGCAATGACTCTGAAAATACTTGATATTTTCAAAATTAATGGAAGATAGCTATAGGACATGTACATGATATTCATTGATTAATATACATGGTATGGTACTTGAAATAAAGTTAATATTGTCCACTTACAAGTCAAAAAAAATTTTTACAGAAATGTTCAACCAAAAAATACCAGTCGATGTGTCTGCACACATTCATTAATTAATGAATTTATTCCATTTGATTGTTGATTATGAATGAACAAAAGCTAATAGTCATTTCTAACAGGTGCGATGGAATATGTGGCAAGCTTTGGTCGGAAGAGGATCCAACTATGGAGAGAGAGAATTAAGGACTGGTTTGAATTTGGACGAGATAAGGTACATAAAGCGTGATATTGCCAACATATTAGGGTATGAAACTTATGCTGATATGTCGATGGAAACAAAGATGGCTGGTAAGGTGTCGGAGGTGAAAAATGTAATCTCGGGGTTGTTGGAAAGAGCAAGGCCTGCTCAGGAAGAGGAGTTGAAGAATTTACATGAATTCGCTGCACAAAGAGGGTTTCAACATGAGAAGTTAGAACTGTGGGATGTGCCTTACTGGAAGAGAAAGCAACAAAAGAGTGAGTTCGGTTACAGCGATGATGAATTGAAGAAGTATTTTCAGCTCAACGTTGTATTGGAAGGTTTGTTCAAGTTGTGCGAAAAGCTGTTCGATATAACCATAAAGCAGAGGCCAGGCATTTCGAAGTGGCATAAGGATGTGAAGTTCTATGATATTTTCGAGGCCCACACAAGCGCTCCAGTAGCTGGATTCTACTTTGATCCTTACGATAGGAGTGAGCAGAGAATGAAGATAGAAAACAATGGTTTTATGATTGGCGTTCAAAATAGAAGCATTTTAACTGAAAGAAACCCACTAGCTGCTCTCATATTCAATTTCGACTGTCCTGTGGACAACAAGACACCATGTTTATCGTTTAAGGAAGTCAAGGCTTTGTTCAGCAAGTTCGGACATGCTTTGCAGCATTTATTAACACGTACGAATTATTTAGAAGTTTCCGGATTATCAAACATCGAATGGGATGCTGTAGAGGTAAGTGGACACGTATTGTCCCACTGGCTGTTCGACAAAGACGTGATGGATAGCATAACCTCTCATCATGAAACTGGGGAAAAGTTGCCAGAGAAGATGTATCAGTCGGTATTGAACGTGAACAAACACATGGCTGGTACTGATTTATCACGTGAACTGTACTTGTCATCGTTAGACTTGGAACTACACTCTACAAAAGACTTTTGGTTAGACATAGTGAAAAAATTGTGGCCCCAATACAGGTGTTTCCCATTACACAAAATAGACTCACATCCCCTATCGTTTTCTCAGATAGTTTGTGATGAATGGGGCGCAGCGTATTATTCTCATTTTTGGTCAAGGATGATAGCCGCCGATGTATATAGTGCCTTCCATGAAGTTAAAGGTGATGAGAAAAAAATTGTGGAAGTAGGTAAAAGGTATCGAAACTCTTTCTTAGCGTTAGGAGGAAGTGTTCATTCAGGACAAATATTCAGAGAGTTTCGCGGTCGAGATCCTTCGCCGAAGGCTCTGCTCAGTTCCTTAGGTTTGAAAAAAATCGCACCCAGCCAAAAGTAAATAAAATAATGCAAGTTGAGTGTTTAATATTAAGATGTTAATTAATAAATAGTTTAAGTTGTACATGATTCTTTTTCCAAAACATTCTGAAAGTGATCATTTTTCATTAGTTTCAAGCTGAATTTCAACTCGTCTGTGCCTTGTTTTTTCATCCCAAGCTTGCACAATGCTTCACCTCTTCTTCCTATGCACTGTGCCCTCTCTTTCAAATTTGAAGCACATTCAGGCTTCAGAAGGTCTATAGCAGAGCTGCAGTCTTGGAGAACTTTGTGAAAGTTGCCTTGAAAGGAATACAATCAGTGGAGTTAGTAGGTAAAACATTTTCCAATAAAAAATGGCAATATTTCAATTTTGATTGTTGACCATCTCATTATTGTTCATTATTGACCCATTTGAAACATTTTTATAGTGGTTGACTAGGCATTAGATATTGCTGGATGTATTTACTGACCCACTTGGTCTGATATTTTGGTGTCGGTCAATATTACATATGAGAGAAATTTTGTAAAATGAAATATTGCAATTATTATTTCATCAGTTGAATGGAACTCTCTGATTATTGATGGAATTCCACACCAAAACGTACTATTAGGGTTTATTGTGATCTTCACTTTCACAAGCAGTCCTAAAAATCGCAATAAATTGGATTATGAATAATTAAAATAGATAATTCCAAAATAGTAGGTGCTAAATTCTCAGAAATGACTGACGTTGCAGTGGCGTACGCAAATTATACTAAACAGAAGGGGGAAAATAATTTAATTTAATTTTATTCATTTATTTATTTATGGGTGAACCCCAATATTTGTTTACAATAAACTGTGTAACAATAAAAGCTTATACTATACTATACTAATTATTATAAATACCTTTATGTGTGTAACAAAAGACAATAAAAACAGACAGTATTAACTAATAAAATACATTTATATGACTAATGAGCGAGAGACTTGTTTTTTAAAAGTATTTTGATTATCACAGAAAAATTGACTTTGTCACAGTAGTTTTTTCCCAGTCTCAACATTTCAGATAAAGGAGAATGATAACCATAGTTGGTTGAGTGATACGGTGTAAAAAATAACTTTTTTTGTCTAGTGGACCTCTGGAACGTTGAAGTTGATAAGAGATAGAATTTCCGGACAATCAATGAGACCAGATATAATTTTGAATAGATAAACCAATGTCGCAGTTGTTCTTCTATCCTCAAGACTCGACAGAGATAATATACTCATCACTTCACTGTAACTGTATTCACCTATAACCAACCCTAGTTTGTATGCCATGGTCCTTAGAAATTTATTTTGCACATTTTCTAATTGTTGTTTATACTTATGGTAGTAGGGACTCCAGATGATGGTGTTATACTCTATGATAGGGCGTACTAAAGACCAATATAATACTTTGGTTGTGAATGGAGAAAGATTGGTTGATGATCTCACAATAAAGCCGAGCATGATAAAATATATAGAATCACAACCTTGACAAAAATGTTTCCGTTTTAATGTAATTATATTTCTGAGAATTTAGTGTCTACTATTATGGAATTGTACTTTTTTATAGTGAGTTTTTATTGTTTCATCTTTTTCTGAAATTGAAAAAAAAATATTCATTTGTTGCATACTTTTTCAACTTTAATTTCATCTTCCAAAAATAGAAAAATATATTCAAGATAGAAGAGATATTCATTTACAATAGCAATAACAAAAATTTAAAATGCAATAAAAGTGCAATAATGAATCACAGAAAAAGTAGAAAATAGTGATCAGTGAAAATAAAAATACTATTTATTTATGAAGATGAGCAACTCACTTAGGTATTTTTCTTATTGAATTGGTAAGACATGTTTAATGAGAAAAGAAGTATATTTGTTGTCATTATTCAAATACAGGTTTCTGGTTTCTTTGTCAGATTTCTATATGCATACACTTTGCATACTAATTACCTTTGTCAGAAGTTAGAATTCAGGTTTCTACACTCAGGTGCATCAAAAATTGCCACATTGAAATGTTTAAAAAAGTTGATCCCGACTAGATTTTAGTTTTTTAGCCCGATTTTCAAATTTTTATTTAATATACGAAAGGAAATTCATCAAACAAATTCACTAATAAGGCCCGATTTATACATACAAGAGGAAAAACATAGTTAGGTTTCTATCATCTAGGTTTAAAATACTCTGAAATGAAATACCAAGTTTTGAATGACACTCAAAACCATCCTGTACCTAAGTTTGGTTCATTATCTATACATGATTTCTTCATTCAATTTGATATCAAGCTTTCTTTCAAATTTATAGATATAAGGAAAGGTTTATCAAAACGAGGAAACATAGGTATTGATGATTCAATTAAGTTTTTGGAAAACTTGTCTGTGAAACATCAATATCGAAATTCTTTCCTTTGCAGATGGTCAAGGTTTAATGTATTTTGAGTTACTCGGGCAAAACATTTTAGTGCTTGTATTTGTAAATAGTATTGTAAATATTATCTTGTCCTAAAAATTAGTGAAATATATTCTTAGTATACTACAAAAAAGACACATTGAATATAGAATCATGTCTAAACGTGTACATAATGTAAAACACATAAAACGTAAAAATTTAATTAAAAACGTTTAAAAAAATGAATGTTACAATATAAAATACAAACTCGTTTTAAATTGAAAGTATTCAAAATGCTAGGGAGGGATGAAAAATATATATGAAAATTGAGACATTAATTTAGTAGAATTTGTTTATAGTAATGTTATATTTTCATTTTTGAGCCATTTGATCACTGAAATTTTGAATAACTTGAACACATATTCCGTTTTCATATAATCTGGAGCAAGATTGAATAATTTAGGTCCAATGTATGTGATTGATCTTTGTCCAATAGCTTTGTTCATTTTCGGTATATTTAGGTTATTCGCTTTGAGTCAGGTTTCATATCCATGTTGATGATTATTGAACTTATTTCTGTTGTGAAATATAAATAATAATAATTGTTTAAAATAAAGATATCTCAAACTCATCAGATCACAATATTGGAATATTTGTGCCGATGGGAAACGAAAGTTTAAATTATAGATAATTTTGAAAAATCGTTTCTGTAGTACCATAAGCGGTTGTACAGTTATACTATAGACCCCACCCCATCCTAGATTTCCATACATTAAGAGAGACTGAACTAACGAAAAATATATACTGCGCAAATCATTGATACTCAGTATATTTTCAAGTGTACGAAAAACATACAAAAGGGCTCTGAGTATTTTAAAAAGATAGTCTATATGTATTTTCCAATTAAGATTATGGTCAATGTGTATTTCAAGATATTTTATTGAACTGGATTTTTTCAAAGTTATGTTCTTATTTCTGCTAGTTAAATGAATATTGATGTTTTGTGCATTGGGAAAACCATGACTGTTACTACAAAATGAAATGTAGGATATTTTATCAATATTTATTGTCAGTAAACTATCATCAAGCCAATTTACTATAGTGTCAATATCGTTTCTTGTATGAGATATTACATCTTCCTAGGTTGCTCCATCAATTATTAGTGCTGTATCATCAGCATATGAGACCTCTTTTCCAGAAATATCAATGGATAACATATTCAAATATAATATAAGTAGGATTGGCCCTGAAACTGTGCCCTGGGGAACTCCGTATTTAGTTTCTAATGAGTCGCTCAGTACACCGTCTATTTTAATCATTTGTACTCTTTCATTGAGGTAGTTTTTGATTAGATCATTTGCCAGACCTGTGATACCAAGATTATTCAATTTCGAGAATATTCGATTATAATTTAATAATAATATAAACGTATCTGGGGCTACCAGCTGTCATGTCTTGCATTGAGTGGACAGATTTAGCAGAAGGTTTTGGCTCTGGTGAACTCCCAAATGAAATTTCATCTGTCAAAAAAAAATTAACTATAAACGTAAACAAGTCGAACTACATGATGATAACGAGAAACAGTTCGTGGATTTATATGACTGGTAAAATTGTCACAAGTTACCTATCCAAAACAAATTGCATCATATATCTTAGCCTCTGCATTGATGAAGTGGGAAAAGAATATACAAAAAATGTGAAAAAATAGCACAAGCTTTTATGTCTTGGGACGAATCTCAAAATCCACTACATTTGCCAAAGGAATTCACTGAGTTTCTTTATTTTTTTGCATAGTTGCATTACATATCAATACTTACTTGGAGTTGGTCCGCATAAAACCGAATCATGTCCGTTAACCAGCTGTTGCCGCCCTACGAATGACAACTCTCAGAAATCGAAACTTGGCGAGCTGAAGACTAACGAGGTCTAACCTTTTAACGTGCGATTTCTATCACATACTATGAGACTTGTACGTACACACATAAAACCCAGCTTAATAATATTAATTTATACATCTACCCCACATTGAATGTACAAATGGAAAGATTGGTCATGTATTTTGCTGTTGGAAGAAAAAACAGGATGCAATATAGCGTCTGAGTTTGGATGGGTATTCGACTGTTGCCTAGGTTAATTTAGAAATTATTTGATGTATATCAGTCTAATAGCAAAAACATGGAAAAATGCACTTTCCCAACTTTTCTGATGATATCTATCTTCCCAAGTTTAACGTTTTCTTTCTTGGTTCTAATTAATTTATTCGAAATCATATTGCGCAATATATCATATGAAGCTTCAGTGGGCAAACCTCTAAAGGTTTCCTGGAAAAAAATAGTTGTGTAATTTTTGCCCATCTAGTGTTTCGTGGACTGGAATAATTTTAGCAGTTTTCAAGGTATGTGGAAATGTCCCGGTTTTAAGGAACATGTTTACAAAAAAGTGACTGGTTTATTGATATAGTTGATTGATTTTTTCAAAAGGAATGGAAAATTCCATCGATACCAAATGAATATTTATGTTTTTGTTTGAGGAGTGTCAGCAGTCCATTTTCTACGAATCACACGTAAAAAAAGTAAGGCCCCGTTAATCCTTAGCTCGCATAAGTTTCGACTTTTGAGGGTTGTCGTTCGTAGGGGTGCGACAGCTGGTTGACGGAAAAACAGATTTTTTTAAAAACAGGTGGACAAAAAAAATGTTACACATATTTGAGTTCTCTGTAGGTTCTGTAGTTATTCGAACTCGACCAAAGTGAAACTTTTTTGTTGTTTTTGTTTTTTCGATAACTCCCATGTAGCCTTACAGGGATCTGGGAAAATGAATATTTTACTATGGAAATATAATTTTTTTTGTAGTTCTTACTAGTTATTTATGTTTCTGTTATGAAATCTATATTTTTTTCAGAGATTTGCTGACAGCGCTTCAGAATGAATAAGTCTTGGAGTTTATTGCTTGGAATTCGAATTTCATCTGATATAATTTTTTTCTAATTTTTCGATTGCTTGTGGTATTTTTTGAAAGGGAAATATTTATTGAAATAGTGCATGAGTGTATCGTGAAAACTGTTGAAAGCTCCTTCAGGGTAATTAAAATTCGACCCCCACAATTGTGTAATAACTGGCATTGTGATAATTAACGTAAAATGTCATTTTATTAATAAAGATCGAGGCCGATTACCCGTTTCTTCAGTATCGATATTTTTCCAGTTGAAAAAGCGCTGAACTACTTTATGACTGTCGGACCTTTGAGCGTCGTTGTGGTCATATACAAGTTTGGCTAGACTAAACAAATGTATATATTACATCCTGACGAAGATCATACGCTTGGGAAAGTAAAAAATGCTGAGATGAGGTTTTTGTGGCTAGCATTGTTGACGCCAGGGCTTAGGAGTTTTTGCGAGAGACACAAAAAGTCGGTCTCGTCGAGACGAGATTGGAGGTCTCATCCCTCAGTCTTCGAGGCTGAGGAACGTGGCCTAAATAGGGGAGTTATTTTGTTTGTAAGTGCGTGGTACGGAATTTAAGAAAAATCGGTAGTGAACTCATAAACCGGTATTGGGTACAGGGGAGTTTGAAATTAAAGTGTTGTTGTTGAAGACACACCGGGTCAACGGAACCTATGGTTGACCATGAACCACCCAAAGAGTCGTTATGTGAGTGTTAGTGTTTTTTTACTAACCAGTTGATATTGAGAGAGAGTTCACATATTATTCAGTCTGAGTCCACTTCCTATTTGCAAAGAGGTTATATATTGTTGGGTTCCTAGTGCTGATAGTTTAGCTAGAGTTCATAATACAGTTACAGAAAAAGAGCGTAAATTTAAAGTTATACATCACTCTCTCTGAAGAAAAAGTAAAACAAAGTATTTTGTACCGAGTTGGTACGTTTGTAGTTGTATAAGATTTTAAATTAAATAGTAAACAGCACAGTCAAATTTGCGGCGAATTATTTGTTCAATTTCTTTTTTATTTAATTTAATTTAACATTTTTTTATGAGATTTTACACGTTGTTTTTTATTATGTTGTCCATGGAGTCGTTTTTCTACTTATATACTTTATATTTGAAACCTTGGACTTTAATTTCCTTTTGGACTGAGAAAAACAACATCCTCGTATCTGTAGAGTAAGATGAAGTTAAGAGAGTTAACTAAGATTAAAATTCAATTCTGGAACCACATAATGAGAGAGAATATAAGTAGGTATACTAAATGATCAGATTTCAAAAAGACCGGCCTTCGTGCGATCGGCATAAACCCTACAGCCTGTTCGGAATTGCCTGACATCCAAATTTTGATTGATGTGGAGAAATCTGCTTCTGATGAAAGCAGCTGCCAAAAAAAATTGATTTGAAAAGAATAAATAAATCAGATAGGAACATTTGTAACAAATGGAATCTCCCAAAATACAGAAGATACTTCTTCAAATATGAAAAGAACAATTATTTTACCCCGGATATTATTTCTAATATTTTCTATTCTGCTTCCATACTTCATTTTTGGTTTTTGAAACGCAACGTGCAAAATTCCAAATAATGTTCAATCCGGCTGTTGTCTTTCCGGATATAATTCAAAATAAATTTGTGCTGTTTTCGTACTATTCCTATCAAATTTATAATGAAGTTTCAACATATCTCGTTTTTCTTCATTTGAGAATGAGGATATTTCGGAGTATTTAACTTATGATGTTTGATGAGTTTTGACAACAAGACCATCTCATATGAAGTTGTTTTTTTTAATACATGTGGTTTCAGAAGAGCAAATCACAACAAATTATACATCAATGAAATCAGAATGAGAATCATTATTTCACTGTATGAAAAAACAATATGGCACCCATAATAGAAAGAAAAAAGTTGATGATTGCCAGAAGACGAAACGTCGGATAGTAAATTTGAACATGAAAACGTGTAGCTGAAAAAGAGTATCAATGAAAATGTGTTTTTGGTTTTGAGCTGTGTTGTCCATATACGCTAGGAAGAAATAAAAACGAAAATACCGATTTTCAGTGTTTTCCGAATATTTCCGAAAATACTTGGAATTTTACAAGTTTCAAAACGGTATTTTGTTGAGCACAAAAAACGCAACTTTGCCCTAATTTAAGCTTCGACGTATCTCCTGTAGTTTAGGAAATCTCAATATGGTGCAGGTCGAATTTGAATTACCCTGTATAGACGAAAAAACAATGATTGGGAATGCTCATTGAAACTTCCTCTGATTTGAGAGAGTTTCCGACTTTTGGTATTGAAAAACATTTTGGATCATGGTGCTGTTGAAATTGAACTTTGCAAACCAAACCACCTTACCTCGACTAAAACAAATGAAAATTTAGATTAAGGCATTGCTGAACGAAAATGAGCGAAAAATTATATCACAATTTTTTCTTAAACAATCCCCCCGTACTACTCACCCACTGCAAAATGTGCTTCAGCTCTGGAAATATAGAAGTCGACGAAATTTTTGCTGATTTTTATTCCAAAGCTGTACGCGCTAATTGCCCCCAAATAATTCTTGTTCTTCAAAAACTCGTCCCCCTTAGCTTTGATGAACTGAGGGTTCCTCTCTTCTGGCCTAATGTCTTCGCTAACGAACCCAGCTGATCTGCGGGCTTCGGCTTGCTTCGTCAACCACTCGTTTTCCTCCTCTAGACGCGACTCCCTGCTGGGAGTTGGAAACTCTCGTGGGGTGAATTCTATTTGAAGAGTTTTGGCGGTTCTTGGTTGTATGGGTTCGGAAGTTTCGACCCTTTCAGATTTCTGTTTAATTGCTTTTCTCCGCAGGTGTGGCAATTTTGCGTTTCTCGAAATGCTTTTCTCCCATTCTGCGATGTCTCCTAGAGCTGTAGCTTCCTCGTGCTTTCTGATATTTTCTATAGTATTTCTAGTTAAGGTATCCGTTTCTATTTGCTTTCTGACCGCCACTCGTTTCAGCTCAGCGTTTTTCCCCAGCTTTTCCTCGCACTCCTTTTGGGTTTCCTGGTAAAATTCCTCGAGAAGTTCCTTTTTCAACTGTAGTCTTTCTGCTTTCGGTATATCTGGTTCCAAAGTGTTCCACTCCTCATCTGCAGTTTTCTTCAATTCGAAAATTATTTCTGTGGGAGTGATTGTACATTTACTAGCAGCTCGTTCGATAGGTTCAAGTAGGATTGCTTCGAAATACGTTTGTTCGTAAGAAGCTTTGATGTATCTCGACGCAATAATGATGTCAACGTTGGGGGAGTTTCTGCTCCTCAGTGGAACTTGTATTGTTATACTGTCAGATGTTTGTTTCCACGTGTAATCTTTGATTATTATGGGCATTCTTGAATCAGAGTATATCCTAATTCACTGACGGTTCAGACAGTGTGTCAACTTCCGTCGGACTTTGTTTCATCAATATTCAGTTTCTATGGTGATGTAGTTTTGTCGTGTTATGTGAGAATAAGTATACAGCGCCGCGTTTTTTTCAAGGCCAAAACACAAGCACTACAGGAAAATATTTGAGGCGATATCAGAGCGGTACCTGTGCGAAAGTAGCGATTCACATTGGATTTGAATCGCTGGAGATTAAATCGATTTGGAAAAATGTTCTCAGCAAGTTTACTTCACATGAACGCAGTTCTCCAGATGAGAGAGTTCCTAAACAGTGAAGTTCGAGGTGTACTGAGTTGAACCTCAAAACGATGAGCAGCCACAGTCCGTCGCGTATTCCTGATATGTAACGCTCTTGGTGGAATCAAATGTGCCAAGTCAGTTGGACGCTTCCTGTGAAAGTATCAATAAAAGAGAGACAAATCTCCAACTCTTCTTCGATGTTCCAGGCTATCAAGGTTGCACGTGATGATCGCGTCTCCAATCAGGCGGATGGTTCTTTTCTGGACGGAATCCAGCAGAACAATACTCCAAAGAAGGTCTGATCTGAGCTTAATAAAGCACCAAAAGTTGCTAAGATATGTACAGTTTTCTGGTTCGGAACAGTGTTCCAAGCTTTTGAGAAGTAGCCTTTGTAATTCCAGATACTCATTGTTCCAAGACATATTGGAGTACATTCCAGTTCCCAACAAACTCATCGAAGCATAAAGCGGAATTGTCTGACCTAACATTATTATATCCGGTTCGGAGACATTAATTTATCAACTTGGAGAAAACCGATGCCTGGGTTTTTGTGGCATTGAATTGAGCGTGGTTACTTTCACCCCAATTCGAAATAACGCCTAGAACCTCATTAAGATATGTAACCTCCAGCTGCCGGTAAAGATGCCCTGTAACTGTTACGTCACGAGACCACGTGACGTGTCTAACGAAATCGCAAAAGTAAGCAATCCTGTATGTCTATAATCGTTGAGCGGGCTCCATATATTTCGAAAGTAGTAGCAACTTTTATCATTTTTTTTTCATCTGGCGCTTCATTTATATGAACCTCTGAACTTGTTTGAACGTAAGGGTTTTTGATTTTTTGAGCCTATAACTTAAGAATGCTATGACCTTGAACTATTTGCTTGTATTAACACCATTTTTTAGCGAGCGCAATCGAATTTATCATTGAAAACTTGATTCACAAAGTTGACGAGTTCCATATTTTTGAGTTCTCTTCTACAGTATTTTTTTCGTCAAAAAGCAATGCTTTATCAACACACGAGATTCCTTTATATCCATTTTCTTCAAACTAACAAAAGTTCCTTCACTCAACATATTCTCTCCCGCAAACTAATAGTCCGACAGCTGTGAAATTTGTAGACGTGTCTTTTGAAGGTTAGACCAGTATCTGTGTCCAATTTCTATACGCCAGTAACGGAAAGTTAATGAAATCTGATAGAAAAATCATTTATATCGTGAAAAAATTTTTTTAGACCCTTTGCTCCATATTGTAACATTATTTATTTTCACTGAAAATTCAGTTGTTGGTTACCTACCATTTGAAAACAAAAATCAAGTAAAAAAAAAGTATGTCAGGTGTGGGGTTCGAACCCACGCTCCCTTTCGGGAACCAGAACTTAAGTCTGGCGCCTTAGACCGCTCGGCCAACCTGACTTGAAAGCAACAGTGATTTAAAATGTTATTGCACAATGTTGTGCAACAATATGATAATCATTCAGTGGAAACGATCTAGAATAGAAAACACTTCAGCATTTTCATATACCTTCAATATTGAAATAGGAAATCGTTTCAGTTGAATCTTTTCATGAACTTTTTGCAGATATAGTCCAGTCATCTTAGTAAGTGCAACTCGGAATTTGAGATACCCAACTATAAACTCGTATAACCTTGTATTTTGACATCACGAAAGTTTTTTCAAAACGTAGGTACTTATGGTATGTTGTACGCGACTATCAAAATCTAATCTTGTAATATTCATTTCCACTGGGAAGTCAGTCGTTGGTTACCTACTATTCACAAAAAAATCAAATGAAAAAAATATCAGTTGTGGGGTTTGAATCCAAGCTACCTTTCGGGAACCAGAACTTAAGTCTTAGCGCCTTAGACCGCTCGGCCAACCTGACTTGAACCTGAAGTTGGCAAATACAGTTAATTCGAAATGTTGTTGCACAATATTGTGAAATGAAGTATCTGCAATCTGGCAAACAGCCCCTAACCAAGTATTTATAACAACGAATATTTAGCACCTTACGCTTGTTACAACAAAATAATTTTTTTTGTAAATATACAGTGTGTCCACTAAATGTGCATCAAATGGGAAACTTTTTTATTATCGATTTCTCAGAAAATTTTATTCTTGACAAAAGTTGGTGCATGTTCCAAAACTATACCAAGTGTACCTGAAATGGCTTTATGACGAATACCATACAGGATAGGCCAAAAGATATAAAGTTTGTTCAAGAGTAAAGTACCCTTATTTCAAAAAATATAGAAATATGTTGAAGAGAAAAGTTATGTTCAGATACGAAGTCGTGGCCTGCTATTCGAATTTATTTTTGAAAAATTTTGAATTACCCCCGTATGATACATATTTTTACTATTTTGATTTAGGTAATATGTATTTGAAGTAGTGACAATCAAATCAGTTTGGAGTTATTCTTATCAAATTAAAGTGTATTTGTAAAATTTACTCGGATTTTTATTTTCAGGTGACCGTCAACTTCATGTGTGTTGCAACGATATTTAACAGAACTCTAGAATAAAACAAATATTCTTTTTAACGAGGCAAATACTTTACCAAGTATAATGTTCATATGAATAAACTGTCAAAAGCTATCGCGGATAGTCACGAACAAAAAAGAACCAATAAGCGATAGTACAGAAAAATACCTACAGTAGGTAACTTAACAACTTAACAGGCGCTAACAATGAAAATTATCGAAGCGTCTCTGTATGTCCACCTTCTCTTTCGATGCATCTAATTGTTCGCTCATGAAATTCGTTTAATGTAGATCGCAACACACTAGAGGGAATATTTCTGCAATGAACTCGTATTGAAGTTTCTAGCTCATCAACATTATTAAAGGGGCGATCTCTGTAGACTTTTTGTTTTAAGTATCTCCATAAGAAATAATCTAGAGGTGTAAGGTCTGGAGAACGAGGAGGCCATCGAGGATCGGTATTTTGTCCTAACCATTTATGTCCTATTCAGTCACTGAGAAACATTTCTAGTAGAATGAGCAGGACATCCGTCATGTTGGAACCATAACTTTTGTCGTTCTACTAATACCATATCATCCAAAAACTCTCCTATTTCAGTTTCCAAAAAGTTTAAGTACCTGTAACCATTCAAATTCTCGCGAAAAAAAACGGACATAGTAATTTATCATTTAATATACCACACCAAACGTTTGTTTTCTGATAGTATTGATTTTTGTTGTCAATAATAAAATTTGGGTTGACATCTGACCACCATCTGCCATTTTGTGATGATTGAACCCCTTTTTTTGTAGAAGTAGATTCATCTCCAAACATAATACATCGATGAAAATCTCATTGTTCTTTTATTTCACTCTGAATCCACATGGAAAAATCATATCTCAAATCATAGTCTCTTTCTTGAGACTATCTTGTTTTTTAACCATCACCACAGATGGAAACTAATTCTGCCTTTTCAGTTAACGTTAATAATACTGGGCGAAGCATGTTTAGTTAATGACAAATATGAAAACGTTTTACAGGCAAGTTTTAAGAAGTCACACTATCAAACTACAGTATTGTTTTAGGGCGTATATGTTTTTTGTTCATGGATATCCGCGATAGATTTTGGATTGTTTTTTAATATCTTTTCTAGTTGAGGCATTGTTGTCAGAATAAAAGAAATTTTATACTTTTATTGACAGTTTATTTATATGAACATTTAGTTAGTAAAGTATTTGCCTCGTTAAAAAGATTATTTGTTTTTCTAGAGTTCTGTTAAATATCGTTGCAACAAACATGAAGTTAACGGTCACCTAAAAAAATACAAATCCAAGTAAATTTTACAAATACACTTTAATGATAGTTTGTAAAAATCAATTATAATATTCCATTTCACTCTGCTTTCAATGAAAATATTTATTCACAGTGAACCAATGAAAATGAAACAAGTTCGTTTATATAGTAAGCGTTTATAAAAATAATCGGTCAGACACGTCGATTTCTTGTATTTTGAGGGGTTGAAGCATATTTCCAAGTCACAATCACTCGTAGTCGAGAGGACGTTTCCACCTTTTTTTTTTAAAGAAAGTATGATCTGATAACTTGTTTGATATATATTTCAATTCTCTAGCCAACATTTTTAAATTTTTGAAAATCAAATTAGCCGTTCCTGAGTAATTAGCAGTTTTATATTTGTTTTGAAGATTGACAAACAAACGATAACTCTCATGATTTTAAGAAAAACATCACTTACTCACTTTGAATTGGTCACCATTCAACTCTTGACAAAAATGAAGTTTGTTTGCAAATAGATTAAGGAATGTTTCCGGCTTACTTTTGTTAAGATCACCTCTTATTATAAACACGAGCTATGGAGTAGACCGCGGTTGTGTAACGGAAACTTTAGATTCCACTAATTTCCACAAAAATCTGAAGGTGTCAAATCAGGTAATGAAGCGGGCCAGTGTAAGGGACCAAACCGGCTCGTCGTGAAAAAGAGGTACCTCATCTTGCTGAAACCTTATATCAGTTAAAAAACTCATTCGGGATTGATAATTTTCCAAATCTATAGATGGGCGAATGTGATTTCTAAGAGAGCCCACTGTTAAGATGTCTCTATAAGGTTTTTGAGGGAATATCCGAAGTGTACAAATACATTCGTAATTCATTTCAGAAATTGCGGGTAAAAGAAAAGTCGCTTGCAACGTATTACCTCAGGAAAATTTCGTAATGTGTGGAAATATTGTAAACAGGCTTTCTTATTGCAAAGGATGAACATATTTTTTTTCTTAAAATCATGA